ACGTCAAAATTAGGGGTGTTGTACAAAACAAAGTCTTCAGCGATTGGATAATCTCAAACCAATCAATCAGAGTATCAAAGCCAATGACACATTTTCTAAACGCAGCTTTACCCATGTGTGTTCTGGCTCTGTCCCAACCCATCGGTTTCTGGGACCAATCAGAACGGTTTGAATGTGTTTGCGTTCTAGAAATCGTCAGATGCAGATTCATTGCAGAGAAGAAACTAATGTCCGTGGCATAGCGTTTGGCCAGAGCAAAGAGTCTGGGTAGCCAGGCAAAGGCTACGTAACTTCGCTTCTTACATAAACAAACAACAAAATATGTATCTTTCTTCCGTTGTCTTGATTGCAGTTAAGTACCAGAGGCCTGCCACAATGCCTCAGAGACTCTAACCAAGCAGGAAAAAAGAATAGCACCACACCCCTCTCTCTATCCCTACCTCCCTCCCTCCATCCATCCGCAAGAGGTAAGGTAACAACCATGTGTCTAGGAACGTATAGAATAGCATCACTCCCCCTCTCAATCTCTCCTTCCCTCCCAACCTCTCTCTCCTTCCCTCCCAACCTCTCTCTCCTTCCCTCCCAACTCACCCTCTCAATCTCTCTCTCTCTCTCTCTCCTTCCCTTCCAACTCCCCCTCCCTCCCTTCCCGCTCAAGTCTAGGGATTTCACACCAAAAAAAAAGAGAGTCAGTTTACTTGGAATAACAACAACAATCTTATTAATATGTACATCTAGAATCTACTGGCTGTCTCTCTGTATTAATATTTAGAGAGATCATCGACAGGGAAATGTAGACCATTCTCATTATCATCATCCTAGTCTTAGTCATCACTGCACTTTTATAAACAGACACATTGTCAGCCTGCAGTCTCCTTAAGGGAATGGACGCCCGGTTGGTTGGTTGGTTGGACGCACGCATGCATGCACAGCCTGATGCAGAGGCACACACACACACACACACACAGTCACTTGCACCAGCTAACATGCTTGGTCATCTACACACGACTGTCACGCCAGCACACAGGCAAGAAAGGACACACCTGGACTGACACACACACCAAGTCATCCTATCAGGCAGTCCCATCTGTTGTTTAGACAGTTACCACACCAAACACACCCCTCCTCCTCCTCCTCCTCCTCCTCCTCCCAAACAAACATTCACTCTCACAAACACCCACACCCAGGCTCCAGTCATTCACATACACAACGCGGCAGCCATTTGCAGAGATTTAGCTTGCGTCCCAAATTGCACCCTATTTCCTACATAGTGCACTACTGTATTTGAGACACAGCCATAGACTTGGGTCATAAAGTGGAGACTGAATTGAATCCGAATAAAGTGAAGCTAAATGAGATCAGGACTGTGAATGGGATTTGATGGTTTGTTTAGTGAACAGTTTGATGCCTCCCTGTCCCCTCCCTCCCTCTGCGCCAGCCAGTGTTTCCCCTATATTCATTTAGCAGCGGTGGCCCACCACTCCTAAATTATTGGCACTGATGCAAAATATGTAATTTTATTAAAAATAAATTATATATATATATTCCTACCAAGACACGCTTGTTGGCTCAATAACTGGAAGTCTATGGGAACAGCTAGCATGTCATTGCACTAACGCTAGTAGCAATGCTATGTGTGTCTGTCTATAGGCTTCCATCCTCTCCTCTACAGACTGTAGTACTGTATGTCTCTCCTACTGAGTCAGACAAAAACATCCTCCACCGCCACACATACCACCCACACCAACAGGACATGCGCATTCGCCTCTCCAAAAGGCAGACACACACGTATGCAGCACATAGAACCAGACGCAGACTCACTCACCCTGGCGCAGACATGCGCCTTCCACACACACGCTCTCTCCGTCTTCCAGTCAAAGCCGTTCGGGTGAAGAGCTAGAACTTAACACGCATGACTCCATATATGGCAGTAGAGGGAAATGGGGGGAGACTGCACACACACACAGGAGCACACCAGCATGCATGCATGCTTTCACACAGAGCCAACCAAGCGTCCCGTCCGCCCTCCCTCCCTCTCTCTCTCTCTTCCTCCCTCGGGAGACAGACTGTGTCCTCCTCTCTGTCTCTCTGTTCTGTCAGGCACTCACTCTTTTCCTTTAAGGCAGCGCTTGACAAATGCATAAAAAAAAAAAGGTGCAAATTTCTCATCCTACTCACTTCTCTCTTTCTCCTCTCTTCTTTCTCTCTGTCGGTGATAGAACTTGGTGAAGTCCCCAAGGATCATACCATGTGGTTAACAAAAGGAGGGGTGGGTTCCAAACCCCCCCGCCACCCACCCGCCCAGGCCAAATGGAATAGGTCCACTGGAAGCTCTAGTAGTGCCTGCTCATTACACTTTTAAAACCTGGGCTCTTCTTTGACAGTTAGCCTTTTTATAGAAAAACTCCAAAACCTCAATATATCAACAACAAAATAAACGACAAACGTAAACAACATATGGCCTCTTTCAAAAGCCAGGCCTAAAAGTAGATACTTAGATAGCACTGATCTAAAAAAAACAATGGTAGTTTCCAGATATAAAAACAACTCGATGGCTTTCTTTTGGTAGGTTGGTTGGTTGAAAGGGGGTGTTACAATGACGATGTTTACCCAGGTTTATTTTATAGTTGTTTGCTCTATACTCTGTCTGTGTTTAGGTTCACAGTCAGAGTGTGGGGGAAGTGTTCCGATTGATTGACCTTCTCCTCCGAAGCAGTGTGTGTGTTTTAGTGTGTGTGTGTCTACCCCAAACACACAGCAGACCACCTCAGTAACAGTACAGTGACACAACAGACCAAGCCTGATAATCCTAACAGAACTCGCCGCTGGCGCTGACCCCAACTGCATTACAAGGTGCTTCCCTAACCTAGCCTGGGTGCCAGTCTGTTTCTACTCTTGTCAACTCCTTATGGAATTGTCATGTAATGAGTGACAAGGAGTTGGCAAGATGGTACAAACAGATCTAGGACCAGGCTATCACTAACAACTGTGTCTATAGCACTAGCATGTCTATGCTCACTTCTGCTCCGAGTACAAACCCCTTGAGCACTGATCTAGGATCAGCTTGCCCGACCTAAACCCTAACCATGACAACTAATGGGAAATATGACCATAGATCAGTATTTAGGGGCAACGGGTCCTTCCTCCTTGACAATACTGGTGGTGGTGTCATTGGCTCTCTACTGATACTGTACTAGATGGGAAACTGCCACAGTCATCTTTCATCCAATCACTGATGAGCTGTAGCTAGAATGACAGTTGGTTGTTATTCAAGGCTTGTCTTGATCTATCTCCTCTCTGTTGTTTCTCACAAGGTGTGTTCAATAGAGCTTTACAGGGATGTTTATAGGCTGTCTGTGTGCTGCGGCTGGATCGGTCTGGGTGCACTGGAGTGTGTGTGTGTCTGAGACGCAGCATCACACACACACACACACACACACCTGAGTGATGGATGAATGAGTCGGCCAAGCGTGTTTGAGCACACGCCGTCTGGGTTCTCACTCTCTGCCGCATTTGACAACACACACTTCTGTCACCATCCACACACAGACACACAGAGTGTGTGTGTCGTATTACTGTAATTGGCACCATTGTATATGCCCAGGATGTATAGGGAGTAGTCCTCCAGGGTGCTTTCATCTGTGTGTGTGTGGCAAGAATGGCTCTTAGAAGGATACACCAACCCTCCCTCTCAGTCCATAATGAAACCAAATACAGAATGGGTCCACACTGTGTATACTACACACACTACACCAATCTAACTTCCTACACACTACCTCTACACCCTAGCCCCTACAACCTAGCCCACAGCTTCATGCTTGGTCAAATGGAGACCATTCTAGTATTTGGATAAGACTTGTATTATAGTATTATAGTGCAAGACAAGTACGTTATTCAGTTATTACTTGCTTAATAGTGCGAGACAACCAATATATTTTTCACTTTCCTTCCAAATGTGAATATGGGCGTGAACTGCCATGATTTTAAACGGTCCCTTACTCCTCTCTCTTCACACAGTATTCAGTAGATATATAGGAAATCATACTGCATCATCAACATACATACCAGATCAGAGCATCTTCTTCCTCATTCAGTCACTAACTATTCAACTAGTCTTTCAGTAACACATCTCCTCTGCTTTTCAGGGAGTCTTGGCAACAAGTCAAAGGTCATACACACACGGAGAGAAAAAAACTATGAGAAGTCACAAATTAAAATGAAAACAGCCCCCCTAAATGGTTCAACTTCAGGGTTGGGGGGGGGGGGTCCAAAAGTCCTGCCAATATACAGAATACATATACCTATTTCAACCATTAAGCCTTTACGTACCCCCCCACAAATAACAAGCCCCTCCCCATATAATAGCCTTCAGTGGGACTGCCAGAGTCTTTATATAAACTGATGAATACAATAATCAATCAATCGATCGATTACAATCTACTGTCCACAGACAATACATACAGGTGACTTGACAACGCTTCACGACCGATACATTCATTATCAAAACAGTGTTATTAGACCGCCCCCCCCCCCCCATAACCCCTCTTACCCCAAAACCAGCCATTACTACCCCACTAAACCTCGACCCCCAAAAGGCCCCTCCTCCTAGGGAATGTGTTTCAGCAATATGGAAAGGAGGAAGGACCTTTGCCAACCAAAAACAAACGTTAAAACAAGAAAATATTCTACATTGGGGTTCAGGGAATATTTCTAGGTTAAGTCCCCCCCCCCCGCCCCCCCATCTTTCTTTCTGCACCTCTATCCCTCCTTCATCTCTTCATCTCTCTCCCGTCCAGAAGGGACTATGTACATGGGTCCGGGGCAGACAGAGAGAGAATGAGGGATGTAACAGATGGATATAATAAAATTAAATTCCAAGTATTAAGGGAAGAGGTTAAGATATGGAAAAGTGACATTAAAAACAAAACTAAAACTGAGGGAGGAAGTGTCGCCGAGAGCAATGATCAAAGACCAATAAGATCACAATAAGCCCACTCACTTTAAAACAAAGTGCTGCCGTCTCCGCCCACAACGCCTTGTAACCCCTCCCCCGAAGAAGGTCCCGCATCGTTATTGGCCGCTGCCACCTCTTCTGCCAGGGAGGTGGGGTCGAACCCATGCTCCGCCCCCAGGGCGTCAGCCTCCATCTTGACGGCGTCTGATTGGAGGAAAGCGGAGTAGGCGTCACCCTCGGCCATGAGGAGCTTGAGCTTGGGGATCCAGGACTTCCTGACGACTCGGCGGGCGTTAGTGCACATGTCAGCTGCGATGGCGTTCATCTCGCTCTCCTTGAAGCTCGGGGCAAAGTTCTGGCAGTAAACTGTTGAGGGAGGAGAGGGAAAGTTAGGTGTGGCAGACAATATAGATGCACTGTAATGAGAAGAAATACAGGTATATGATTACAACACGGTGTAGCACTGAGTGTGTGAGGCTTGTTCGGTGTGTGAGAAAGCAAAGCTGTGCACTGGAGTGTGTGACGCTCACACTTGACGGCGTGCAATACTCTGCTGTCCAGGGGCTTGCGGCTGGGGTCGTTGGTAGAAGAGCGGATCCCCGTCCCACAGCTGTTAGCTAGAGTACTCCTGAGAGAGGATAGAATAGTTATATACAGTATCATTTACTGTATGTCTTCACAAATCAATATCATACTGACTAAAGCGCATGCACCGTTGCACAAAAGCAAGCGCACAAAATGTACACGCTTCCAACGCTCAAACACACACACCCTCCCCTCACCTGTCGAAAAAAGAAGCCAGCAGCCTCCTCAGTAGGACCTTGTGGCGCGTGCCGGCGCTGACGTGACAGTTCATGAGCTGCGCGCGGGAGATGAACACGGAGGTACCTGTCACCAGCTCCAGTCTCTCTGCAGGATCACCCTCCTCGTACAGCCGTGGGTGGCACCGGTTACCTACACCAACCAATCAATCCATTCAAATGTATTAAGCCTTTTTCGCATCAGCTGCAGGTGGCAGCGGTTGCTAAATCAATTCATAAATCAATCAATACAATTTATAAACAGCAGTTGTTTTTACAGTAACAGTATCTTGGTCTACACACATTACAACTATAGTATTACTTGGAAAAAGAAAATGTCCACTATAGTATTAAAAACTAAATGAAGTCTGTGTGTGTACCTATCTGGGTGATGAGTTCTGCGGGTAGCGAAGCCAGGTCCTGGCGTACCCTCACCCCCCTGCCACCCCGGGTCTCTGCCGTGAGGTGCTCTGGTAGGGACTCCACACGCTCGCTCGCTACTGGGGTGGCACAGAGAGGAGGGCACACATTACACATGAATACACACGGCTACATTAACACACGGCTACATTAACACGCGGCTACATTAACACACGGCTATATTAACACACGGCTACATTAACACACGGCTACATTAACACACGGCTACATTAACACACGGCTACATTAACACACGGCTACATTAACACACGGCTACATTAACACATACAACAGGCTATAATGCTTGTCTGCTACTGGGGTGGCACAGACAGAAGACACATGTTAAACATGAATACACACAGCTACATTAACATACACACAGCTACATTAACATACACACAGCTACATTAACATACACACAGCTACATTAACATACACACAGCTACACTGAACAAAAATATAAACGCAACATGTAAAATGTTGGTCCCACGTTTCATGAGCTGAAATAAAAGATCCCAGACATTTTCCATACGCACAAAAAGCTTATTTCTCTCCAATTTAGTGCAAACTTATTTACATCCCTGTTAGTGAGCATTTCTCCTTTACCAAGATAATCTATCCACCTGACAGGTGTGGCATATCAAGAAGCTGATTAAACAGCATGATCATTACACAGGTGCACCTTGTGCTGGTGACAATAAAAGGTCACTAAAATGTGCAGTTCTGTCACACAACACAATGCCACAGATGTCTCAAGTTTTTAGGGAGCGTGCAATTGGGATGCTGGATACAGGAATGTCCACCAGAGCTGTTGAATGTTCAGCTGCCTCCAATGTCGTTTTAGAGAATTTGCCAGTACGTCCAACCGGCCTCACAACCGCAGACCATGTGTACAGCGTTGTGTGGGCGAGCGGTTTGCTGATTTCAACTTTGTGAACAGAGTGCCCCATGGTGGCGGTGGGGTTATAGTATGGGCAGGCATAAGCTACGGACAACGAACACAATAGCATTTTATTGATTGGAAATTTGAATGCACAAATATACTGTGACGAAATCCTGAGGCCCATTTTTTTTTAAAGGTATCTGTGACCAACAGATGCATATCTGTATTCCCAGTCATGTGAAATCCGTAGATTAGGGCCTAATTAATTTATTTCAATTGACTGATTTCCTCTTATTACATTTTAGTTATTTAGCAGACGCTCTTATCCAGAGCGACTTACAGTTAGTGAGTGCATACATTTTTCATACTGGCCCCCCGTGGGAATCAAACCCACAACCCTGGCATTGCAAGCGCCATGCTCGACCAACTGAGATACACGGGAGGCTTATGAACTGTAACTGAGTAAAATCTTTGAAATTATTGAATGTTGCATTTATATTTTTGTTCAGTATACATAGTGTACAAAACATTAGGAACACCTGCTCTTTCCATGACAGAAAGCTATGATCCCTTATGGATGTCACTTGTTAAATCCACTTCAGTTTAGATGAAGGGGAGGAGGAGACAGGATAAAGAAGGATTTTTAAGCCTTGAGACATGGATTGTGTGTGTGCCATTCAGAGGGTGGATGGGCAAGACAAAAGATTGAAGTGCCTTTGAACGGGGTCTGGTGGTAGGTGCCAGGCGCACCGGTTTGGGTGTGTCAAGAACTGCAACGCTGTGTGTATCAAGAATGGTCCACATCCAGCCAACTTGACCCAACTGTGGGAAGTATTGGAGTCAACATGGGCCAGCATCCCTGTGGAACGCTTTCGACACCTTGTAGAGTCCATGCCCCGACGAATTGAGGCTGTTATGGGTGGGTGCAACTCATTATTAGGAAGGTGTTCTTAATGTTTTGTACACTCAGTGTACAACTGGCTATAATGACATGCAGGCCTAGCTAACACACTCTCCTGCAACGGGGGTGGGAGAGAGGAGAGGGTACATGTAAAGACAGATATTCACACTTAAATATGCCTCTATAAATATTGACATACCTACAACTAGCATTAATGTCCAGACATAAGCAAGCACACACACACACACAGAACATAAAACAGATAGCATCATAGAGTCATACTAATTCCCCATCCTCTTCCAAATCACGATTCAATCAGCTTCCTAGTTCTTCCCTCCGTAATCTCCAACTCATCTCTTCCCACATCTATTGTTCTTACCTGAAGCACCAATATGCACTCTTCCTCCCTCCTCATCCCCCTCTCCTCTAGGGCTGGGAATTGCCAGGAACCTCACGATATGATATTATCACGATACTTAGGTACCTATATGATATGCATTGCGATTCTCACAATTCTATATGTATTGCGATTTTATACTGCGATTTTATTGTGAATTGATGTTCCAAATATATTGCTCACCATATGTCTGCTGCAGAGAGACAAGAGAGAGCCATGAGAAAACGAGTCTTGATCAGTCATGGAAATAAAAGTGCTGTAAACACATTGGCTCACTATTTAAAAAGGAGATGGAGGCCTAGCTATGGGATGAAAAACACCAGAGTTTTGGTGCAGGTACAGCTGACTAGCACTAGCTAACGCTACCTAGCAAATTATTAGTATATATATATTTTTTTAGCGATACTTGGGAGTCAAATATTGATTTAATATCGTCCAAAAATAATATTGCGATATGTAACTGTATCGATTTTTCCCCCCATAACTATGCTCCTCCAGATTCCTTCCACACACCAACTCTCTCTCTCACCTGCGGCGGCGCCCACGTTGAGCATACTGTACATGGTGTACATGTTACAGATCTGCCTGTACTGCTCTTCGGTGCTGTCGTCGGTCACTTCCTCTTCCTCCTCGTCATCATGGTAACTGAGGGGCGAGTCGCTGGTGTACATGCTCAGCGTCCCCGGACTCGTCCCGTCCGGCGTCCCCACGCTGCTGCTGTTATGGTTACTGTTGTTGTTGTTGTTGTTATGGTTACTGTGGTTAACAACGTTTCTGCCCGTTGCATCTTGGGAGTTGCAGTTGTTTGATGAGGCGGAGGAAGAAGAGTAGCGGGCGGCTTTCCTGGACCCCCCTCCTCCTCCCGACCCCCCTCCCCCGTCGCCGCGGTTGCCCCCCTCCCACAGGCGCTTGGCGACGGGGCTGCACACCACCGAGTAGGACGTGGCCTCCTGCTGAGAACGAAAGAGAAGAGAAGACAGTAGCTACATAACATCTATTTAGTTTGTCATCGGTTCATCATGTGAGAGGGCGGCCAAACTCGTGTGTATTTCTGCTTGAGTATTTCCTTGCATGGCACAGGGGACAACGAAGTTCACAGCTTCCACCTTTGACCAGAGGGGTATACTACAAAGCAGCATCAATGATTTAGCCAGCTAACTTTGCTAAAAAAAACTGAAATAACTATAGAATTTCTGGTTCATTAAGAAAGCTAAACTTGTTCAGTCAATTAAACCATGCCCATTTCAAGCTTATCTTTCCAAAAAATATGTTATTTGAGAATATTTAGGCAAGTTAGGCCTCCTGTAGCTCAGTTGGTAGAGCATGGTGCATGCAACGCCAGGGTTGTGGGTTCGATTCCCACGGGGGGCCAGTATGAAAAATGTATGCACTCACTAAAACTGTAAATCGCTCTGGATAAGAGCGTCTGCTAAATGACTAAAATGTAAAATGTTAGCTGGCTAACTCATTGATCCTGCTTTGTAGTATACCCCCTCTGCTCTTTGAAAGACCTGATGTTCCACTGAAGAAGATTGCATCCCCTCCCAGATAACAGATATCATCTACAACTTTTTTGTTGTTGTTGCCTTTATTTAACCAGTAAAGTCATTGAGAACACATTGTGTTTTATAATAACGACCATTTCATTTCTATTTCATTCCTTCACTATGACAAATAACATGTATCTTCTTTGCCAACTCACCTGCTGTGGCTGTGGCGTGGGTTGTGGCGTAGTCACGCTCTGCTCAGTCTTCACCCTCGACACCAGAAGGAGGGGTGTCAGGCAGGAGGCGGGCCTACACGCTGCCGTCGAAACCACCCCAGCCCCTCCACCTGTGGTTTGAGTGACAGGGCTCTGGGGCTCTGAGGGCGGAGTCTCTTCTGCGTGAAGACCCTGGGAGTCACAGCTAGGGGAGGAGACCTGGAGGGAGAATATGCAAATGAAGAGGTAAATAAATCTGTGAAAAATATGTAAATATTTAAGACTATGTAAAGTGGAAAGCTTTGACAAGGAAAACCTTTGTTAGCCTAATGCAGGGGTAGGCAACTAGATTCAGCCGCGGGACGATTTTTATCGGAGCGAACGGTTGGGGGGCCGGAAACGTATAATAATAATTTGTACAGTGCAAATTAACCACAACTAAGCCCAAAAAGAGATTGTATTTAAAAATAACAATAATTTCATACCTTGATTACATTGAGACATGATCACATCTCTTTTTTTTGTGTAGGAATACTTGGGAACAGATTTCCTAAATTAAACAAATGTTTAGCTGAATTCCGAGTGATTTTAGTCTCTTTTTTTTTTATACCAAAAACAAAAATCCTAAAATATATATATGTATATTTACTAAAAACTTGGGGGGCCAAAAGAAACCACCTGTTGCCGACCCCTGGCCTAACGAAACAATCGACTTGTGCTGTCAGTTGCTGTCCATATTGCAGTCCAATTATCTACCAACATCTACCTATGGTGATCATAGGAGTTGGCAAGACAGCCACAAACAGGTTGCTACGGTTACACTAGATACCTTAAGGAAGAACTCTGTGCCCTTCTCCATGATCTGCTGGATCTGCAGGAAGCCTGCAGTGTACATGAGGAGGAACTGGTCCCCCACGTTCATGCTGAGGCGGCCCGTGTAACAGAAGGCTAGGATCTGTTGGAAGCTCTGGGGCTGGACGGCTGGGGGTAGCTCCACCACACTGCTCTTCCCTCCAGCGTTGAACAGGTCCCGGAAGTAGGAGCTACTGGCTGCCAGGACCGCCCGGTGCGCCTGGGGACGGATGGAGAGAGGAAGGGATGAATACATATACCGTACACAGGCTTGTTTTTAAACAACCTTGAGGTACAACCAGAGAATATTTAACCAGGTACCCTAATCAAAATATATAACTGTTGATTCAGTCCTGATTCAGGCATTATCAGATCATTCTAGCCTAACAGTTAACTGTGTTTTAGTTCAGCCGTCGCCCTAGCTTGAAGTCATGTCAATGTGGTAAATAAATAAATAAATAAATAAATAGGTTCAGTTTACTACAAAAAACATTGATATTTATCAACTCCTACCTTGAAGGCGTGTCCCTTGACAACCACAGAGACGTCGCAGTAGAGCCCCTGAAGCCTCTGCTCGTTGAGACACTCCAAGACGTTGTTGCCAAAGTTAGGGATCGCCATCTGTAGCGTCTGAGCCATAACGCTCTAGCCCAGCACCACCCGGGTCTATAACAGGGAGAGAAACTGTATATTAGGTCTATGTCATGGGTATGTCATGTCATGACTATGTTATGTGTGGTATATTAGGCAATGTCATGTAGGCTACAAAGTTAGGGATCGTGATCTGTAGCGTCTGAGCCATAGCACTCTAGCCCAGCAACACTGGGTCCTATAGCAGGGAGAGAAATTGTTATATAGGCCTATGTCATGTAAGGTATATGTCATGAATCACTTCCTGTTTGTTGTTGTTTACTGGAGAGGGGGGGCAGAGAGGGAAAAAGGGAGACTGGGATTTAAATAAGGAGAGTGATGGGAGGGGACAGAGTGATGACTAATACACTTAATAAAGAGTGATAGAAAGAGAGCTCCTTTTTAAAATAGTCAATTAAGTTCCTTGTCTTATTAATTTCAAATCAACATTTTCCAATTCTGCGGTGGGTAGCTGGCTTTCGTCCTACCTCATTGTTTTGTTTTTGAATGAGACAAGAGAAAAGATAAGGTAGCAGAACTCCATTACATAATTATTTGGTTTTGTTTGGTTTGTTGCCATCCAGCCTTGATGTGTCTGATCACAAGTAGAAAGAATGGCTGCAAACTTGCCTCTCCACAAAGAACCCTTAAAAGTTTTCCATTCTTTTTGAAAACTTTGCATTGAAGAAGACTGACAGAACTTTAATTGACTGGCACATAAGCTACCATGATGCCTTTTAATTTTGATTATTTTTAGAGCACTAACTGTGTAATTAACCACATGTGACTGGGAATTAATGGAAAGGCCATGACCATGAGCCACTTGGCTAATAAGAAACACTACGATGGGGATAAGGCCTATTTAATAACAAGGTGTATGTCAAGCAAAGCTAATTTCATTAACACTCATAAGATTAAACAATGAATGGACCTATATGTTGTCCTTAAAGACCACTGCTCAAGTGCCAACTGAAGGAAAATAGCCTATGTAATAGCCTAAAACAAACAAATGTTTTTGATTTCCTAGGACCTTGGCTAATTAACATGGTATTGCTCTTCCCATACACATGTGTATCTATGTAAGTTAATATACATGTATTTCTCCATTAAAACTATATATAGAGAAAGAATGCATCACAATTTGCCTACTGCCACTGCACAAGATAAGAGAGTAGAGTTTTAACTTTTCAATAATTATTCTCACAACTAAGAATTAAAACAGGTTAAACTTAATATTTAGCCTAGTACATTTCCTTATCATCAACCTGAGAACATATTGCTTCATTTTGATTGGAGGAATGCAGAGTAGAACCAATCAGAACGACCACCTAAATCCATCATCACATTAGGTTCCATTTCCTCTGGGGACACAACATCCAAAAACACATAAAGGCAGTTCATTTAACTGATTTGACCTCTAACCCCCTACCTACACGTAACATATGGCCACACGTCACCACCACACAATGTTTATGTCAGGATTATGTCAGGGCCAATAATATTACATAATCTGAATGAAATTCCATATTTTTTGCTGATGCCAGCTGAATTGAAGTTTTACTTTATTCAAGCATATATTTATACTTTATTAAACCTCTAACCCCCCCTAGCCGTAACATTATATGACAACACACCACCACAAAACGATTAGTCGGGAGGATTATATTACAGGTTAAGAAACTAAATGTTATTTTTTTTCTGATGCCACCTTATTTTATTTTATACAAGCCTATGAGATCAATGAATAAGCGCACATTCAGCAATATAATCGCATACAAATGTAAAAATATGTTTTTTATAAATGTTTTATATAAAAAAATGATACTATGTATATGTACATATACAAAATCAAATACTATGATATTCAATTTCCTGGTTTGGGAGGTGAAAAGGTAGCCACAGTTAGCAAGTAGCAAAGCTAAAAGCTAATGCTAATTTGATGTTAACCAAATTAAATGTCAAATTCTTGAACGCCCAAGGCATCAATTGAACACTGTCAAGTAAAAGCATTTGCTTATTTACTTGAAAACATTTGCTTTAAAGAGTAAATAATGAAGTAATCTACTTTGCATCAGCGGCATGTGGCTACATTATGTAGCAAGCCTCCCAAGAGCACGAATAATATTAACTTTAAAACGGAATATACTGTACATCAATTAATCATTAATAGCTCAATCTCACATGGAAGGTTAGCGGGAGAGTCTCGCCGGTGCCCGCCAAGGGAAGACTAGAGGCCTGAACAGCGGTAGAACAGCCAGCCGGAGTGGCCAGAGAGAGCTATCCGTGCCCCGTTGTGTGCCAGTATCTTTGCCCCGTGAGATTCGGAGCGCTCGGGCTGGCACGGGCCGGGGGGCGACGGAAAGAGCGGACGGTTGGATAACAAAAAAGAATATCACCGGTTCTCTCTCTCTCTGTTTATGTCGATGCAGCGCTTCATCTGCTCTATCAAACTAGCTAAAAGACAACCGCACGAATTCCGTCACAAAAATAGTAGAACAAATAAAATATTCAGGAGTTCGCATCACCCGCAGCTCTCGCCCCCCACTCTGTGCCAGTACTGTCGGTTAGAGTTACCTCCTTGGGCCTAGGCTAACTACTCGGGATACACTGTACTTTTTTTTATTTTGGGTTAGCCCATCGCATGATGTAGCCCGCCGCTAGCTGAGTTATCACCCAAATTAATTATTTGTCGCCCGAAACAATGGATCAGCCAATGAAAGTTTCGTTTAGTAAAAACCCGATTTAATATTTTCTGTAGTTATTTTGGGGAGGTAGCCAGGGGGGTAAAGGGGGGGGGGGGGGGTCCCGGTCGACACTCAACAGGTCAATCCGGGACAAACCTAGGCGAGCAACTGGGGGCGAGTGAGACTGACCCATGCATGCATGCAGCCAGCAGGGATATAGCCTACGAGTTCCTGCTAGACAACACACCAATTTAACCAGTTAACGACAACACGAGATGTGCATCAACCCCCAATCGAATTAACCATTTATGTTAGGAGTAGACTCATTCTACTGGGAAAATGTCGTTTTCGTCAACGAAACATCCAGGTAAAACCCGGCCGCGTTTCAAAAGTTGAGGAATAAAGAGCGAGAGAGAGCGGATTGCCGTGAACTCACCGAGGAAAGGCAGGCTAGGCAACCCGCGGTGATGGCAGGCAGTGTGAGCTGTGAGTGTGAAACATAGACCGTAGTTATATAGCCACTAAAGCGGTTAAAGTTTTGTTGGCGCTGCTGTTCGGTGTTCCTACTCAGCCCATCCCCCCTCCACACCTTCCCAAAAACAATAGCTAACAAACCCGCCCACTCCCCCCAAAAACTCACACCGAACCGCTCTCAATTCCTCCTCGAAGAAGAACCACTTCACCACGGCAAGCCGCCGCAACCACCTCACCGACTTCGCGTTCCTCTCTGACCCTGGTAAACCCGGGTGAATCCTGGTAAAACTCACCCCCTCGCTATAATCCTTTGGAAAGTGTTTCAATGGAGGAATAGCGCAGAAGCGTTCGGTTCTCTCCCTCTCGCTCGCTACAGGCAGCCATTCATTGTGAGTGAGCACAGCACAGGTGGAAAAGCAGAGCGCAGAGCTATCGAGGAAGCCCAAAACCGTACGACGTACACCCAGGGGTGGAAGAAAAGATCGCGCCAGGGGTGGAAGAAAAGATCGCAGAGCTAACCGATCTCTCAGACATACAGCGTCCCCAACCAACCTGGCTGCCCCTGTCTGTCTCCGCCAATTGTCCAATTCAAATCACACACACGCACCCGGTATTTTCCGTCTCTCCCATACCTGTGGGACTCCCTCTTGTCCAGACAGCCCAGTTGACCGGTGATTCAGAGTGGAGATCGACAGGAAGCTGCCGGTAACGGTTAAATCTCCTCCCCGGTTTGAGTGAGAGCTCGCTGCGGTGCTAAAAGTGCTATTTTCGTATGTCTAGACCTTCTCAGGTGAGCCCCTAGGCGTCTATAGTACGCGCATAGAATACAAACTACGAACTGCATTGAAGCAATGGGAAAAGCTAGAGCTGCCTAGATACAGTTCTTTCTTACTGTCAAAATGCATCTTTCTTCATCATGGCCATAACTGTTGTTAGACGAGCGCCACCTCCCGCTTTAGATATTAAATAATGATTATTAATAATTTCATAACAATTCATAATTCTCTTTAGTCATACGTATCGTAAATGCTTTAGCCCTGACGCGTTCAGGGTATCACTTGAAATCATGATGGCATTGATAATTATCACGTACATGCTGCTGCATACAGTGCCAGAAATGAAAACGTGTGAAGAAAGAAGAGGGATCTGTCAAACGAATAGGGAACTCCCATCTCCAACATTGCATTGCTTCTTGGCTCCTAGTCCTATCATATGCCCCTCATTTGACTGCAATGGAAACATAGTTTAAAAAACATTAAAACACTTCAAATTGTATCTACAGCATCACATTTAGGCCTATCAAATTAAGGCTTTTTGTGTAACTTTTCATTCCATTTCGCACATTCAAGGCATGGAAAGTAGGCCAATCGCCGGATGAATGACCGCTCTGTCCTATGTGTCTTTATATTACACAAGGCATGTTCATTACAATACACCTTAGTAAAACGTTTTGCAACGGAACACGAAAAGCTCAGATAGTTCCTCCCTGTTTCAGTCCATTTAGTGCCAAATGAATATGACCCAGTTACGGGAATTCTCTCAAATAATTAGTAATTAGGATCTCTTTAGAGCAGCACAGTGGGGATGTCATAATACCCATAAAACCTAGCGGTCAAACAGGGAAAAGGTTCCAATCGTTTTTCCACCATTCATTTTTCCCATAGGGGATTTTAGAAACACTAAAAATAAGGGCTGTGTTTTGTGTAGGCTTACCCTGTCGTGACGTTTTGATAACCATGTAAATCTGTCTCGGACAAGGTGACTTATCTATATATTTGTTTCCATTTACTCTCAGATTCAAAAATGCTAATTAGCATCAAAGTAGACATCATGAAAGACTACAAATCCCTGCAAGCTCCTGCATGTCATCTCTAGCTGACACATTTACATTTTAGTCATTTAGCAGACGCTCTTATCCAGAGCGACTTACAGTTAATGAGTGCATACATTATTTTTTAATTTTTCATACTGGCCCCCGTGGGAATCGAACCCACAACCCTGCCGTTGCAAACACCATGCTCTACCAACTGAGCTACATCCCTGCCGGCCATTCCATCCCCTACCCTGGACGATGCTGGGCCAATTGTGCGCCGCCCCATGGGTCTCCCGGTTGCGGCCGGCTACGACAGAGCCTGGATTCGAACCAGGATCTCTAGTGGCACTCGGGGACACCTTTGCTAACAGGTATTGTGTCAATTTAAAACTTGCACAAGACAGTTCACAGAATTGTCAATTTAAAGAAACGTTGCCAATTTATTCATTACTACATTTAGCTAACATTAGATAGTTAATCCAGAGATTGTTACCTTTGCCTCGATTCGGCAGTCTAGTCCAGATCAACATGGCATTTGTAGTTCTTTATTAGCAGCCAATTAGCATTTCATTTTGGGGGGGTAAATACAGGCAAATAAATTGATAAGTGACCTTGTCCTAAAGAGATTTCCACAGTTATCAAAACATCATGCCTACACGAAACACCCCCCTTATTTTAACTGTTTCTTTAAAAAAAACTGGGAAAATGACTGATGGAAAATTGGAACCATTTCCCTGTTTGACCGCCAGGTTTTATGGGTATTATGACTCATACCGTGGTACTCTATATGCATTCTCTTCTCTCATTCGAAACGCGTTTTATCTTTTTCTGTTTGGTTCCGCGGGCTTCTGTAGTTGTGGTCCATGCATGTCTGCGTCCATGTGCTAGCGAGCCAACTCATCCAACTTGAGTTTTGTAACAAATAGCTAGTGCGTTATTACCGTTGTCATACAGTAAATATCCCAAATCATCAAATACAGCTATATTTTAAGTTGTGTCAATTTGGGAAAGGGCGCCGCAGATAAGGTAATCGTTTTTTATCTTACTTGATTGCTAACTACCCGTAGCTAGCTAGTTAGCGCTTCGGATCATTTCAATGCAGTCAGTTAGCTAGCATTTTGAATTTAGCCGATGTCAGCATGTCAAAGTCACAAGTGTTTTATCATAACTTTTATGGTGTGAATGTTAATGATAGTTAACTGGTGTGTTTTTTTCTAACCCAAAACAACCACTGACTACTTTGAAGGGGGTGCGCCCTGGTTTACGTAGCTTGCTAGCTTAGCAATCTTCTCTGACTTCAGCTCAGGCATGATCAGTGACGTTATAGATCAAGCCATGGTTTAGCTAACAGTCTTTGTCCAAAAGCTCATCTTATCTGTGTGTGTTGTCAGTTCATGCTCTAGTCTAAACTGTGGAGGAAGAGCCCTAAGTCTAACCAATATATGTTTTACCAACAGCACTGTGTAACCTAGCCCAATATGTACTCTAACTTTGCTCCTTGATGTCCAAGGACCTATGTTATTTTCAGAGGTATACTGGCTCTGGCAGCCAAAACAGCCAAATACTCCATCTAAGCGTTAGTCGATTCTCAATTGCAAGAAACAAAAACCCATTACTTTCATATCACATCAAAATAATTAAACACATGCAAAATATACACTTACTGTACCGCTTTATCACAGTTGCAGCTGACAGTATTTTTCAGTGACAACAAGTTTCTGGCGGCCTTTAGTTAAACAGGTGTTCGGAGCATGCTATATAGCTAATTAGCACAGGTGGTCCCTCAGTCTTTCGTCTGTCTTCAGTAAAGACGCGATGTAACATGGAGATATGGCCGTGTGGGAACCCTAACCCTATAAAGGTGTGTATTAATTGAACTTTTTGTTTAAAAAAATAAATAATCTTGCTGTAATGAAAGATAAGGTCCTTATGCTTCCAAAACCGTACCGCAAGCGATGCATGTTCATTTTCAGACCCAGCACCTGGTCTCTTAACAAAACTCCCCGTACAGTAGACATCTTTACCCTATGACTCTTATGTGTAATGGAACTGAGAGTCATGATCAAGGGCTATGTGTGACCACTGTGACCATTATAACACAATGTTGTTGTTTCTTCCAGGACTGAGAAGTGCCCTATGCTGATCAGCACTGCTCGGCTACTCCTCCTCTTACCTGTACCCTTCACCCACCAGAGCATTATAAGGACAGTTGGCAGTGTTGCTTACAGGGGACTGAGAACCATGGAGCCCCTCAGGGCCCCTCAGGATCCCAAAGTTAACACCACCCTGTCTGGGGTAGACACAAAGCCTCAGCCCCCTACCTCTGGAGCTCCTATGGAGGGCTTGAACCCAACTCCAGCTGCCTCAACACCTGACCAGGAGACGGCCCCGACAACGGGGCTGTTGCCAGGGGAGACAGTCGTCAGGGAGGGCAAGGCGGCCATCTTGTTTCCCAGTGCCAACGAGGTGTTCTACAACCCCGTGCAGGAGTTCAACAGAGATCTGACGTGAGTTTGACTGATGGGGTGTATTCACTAGGAAGCAAACGGAACGAAACGGAGAGGAACCTACCTGAATTTGTCCAATAGAAACTCTCATACAGTTTGCTTTGGTGTGCACTTACGAATACACCCCTAATGGTCCTTTATCCCTTAGCTGGCCCAAAGTTCAGCTCAATGCTGGATTTCCGACATACACCTTATGACTGGACATATTGTGGGAAATTTGCATACATTGCAATTTGGATATTATCCTATGGGTCTGTTAACCTTCAGTTGAAGAAACTGCATTCAACAAGGCTTATGTAGAGCTCAATCTGTGAAAAAAGTAGAGCTAAGGGCTTGAGCCATATATTTACACTGAACAAAGATATAAATGCAACATACAACAACTTCAAATATTTTACTGGGTACCAGTTCATATAAGGAAATCAGTCAATTTAAATTAATTCATTAGGCCCTAATCTATGGATTTCACATGACTGGAAATACATATATACATCTGTTGGTCACAGATACCTTAAAAAAATTGTAGGGGCATGGATCAGAAAACCAGTAATTATCTGGTATGACCACCATTTGCCTCATGCAGCGCGACACATCTCCTTCACATAGAGTTGATCAGGCGGTTGATTGTGGCCTGTGGAATATTCCTACTCCTCTTCAATGGCTGTGCGAAGTTGCTGAATATTGGCGGGAACTGGAACACGCTGTCGTACACGTCAATCCAGAGCATCCCAAACATGCTCAATGGGTGACATGTCTGGTGACTTTGCAGACCATGGAAGAACTGGGACATTTTCAGCTTCCAGGAATTGTGTACAGATCCTTGCAACATGGGGGCCGTGCATTAACATGCTGAAACATGAGGTGATGGCGGCGGATTAATGGCACGGCAATGGGCCTCAGGATCTCGTCACGGTATCTCTGTGCATTCAAATCGATAAAATGCAATTGTGTTCGTTGTCTGTAGCTTATGCCTGCCCATACCATAACCCCACCGCCACCATGGGGCACTCTGTTCACAACGATGACATCAGCAAACCACCCGCCCACACGACGCCATACGTCTGCCATCTGCCTGGTACAGTTGAAACCGGGATTCATCCGTGAAGAGCACACTTCTCCAGCGTGCCAGTGACCATCGAAGGTGAGCATTTGCCCACTGGAGTCGGTTACGAACTGCAGTCAGGTCAAGGCCCTGGTGAGGACGACGAGCACGCAGATGAGCTTCCCTGAGATGGTTTCTGACAGTTTGTGCAGAAATTCTTCGGTTGTACAAACCCACAGCTTCATCAGCTGTCTGGCTGGCTGGTCTGACGATCCCGCAGGTGAAGAAGCCGGATGTGGAGGTCCTGGGCTGGCGTGGTTACACTTGGTCTGCGGTTGTGAGGCCTGTTGGACGTACCGCCAAATTCTCTAAAACAACGTTGGAGGTGGCTTATGGTAGAGAAATTAACATATAATTATCTGGCAACAGCTCTGGTGGACATTCCTGCAGTCAGCATGCCAATTGCACACTCCCTCAACTTGAGACATCTGTGGCATTGTGTTGTGACAAAACTTCACATTTTAGTGGCCTTTTATTGTCCCCAGCACACGGTGCACCTGTGTAATGATCGTGCTGTTTAATCAGCTTCTTGATATGCTACACCTGTCAGGTGGATGGATTATCTTGTCAAATGATGTAAGAGGGATGTAAACAAATTTGTGTGCAAAATTTGAGTAATAAGCTTTTTGTGCGTATGGAACATTTCTGGGATCTTTTATTTCAGCTCATGAAACATGGGACCAACACTTTACATGTTGTGTTTATATTTTAGTTCAGTATAGATAAAATAAATTCATATATGGCTCAGGCAATGGTAGCTAGCTGTTTGTTCATCACAGGTATACCCGTTTAATCTGTCTCACATCTCCATCTTGCCCCCCTTCTCTCCAGGTGTGCGGTGGTTACAGAGTTTGCCCGGGAGCAGATGGCCCAGAGGGGGGTGAAAGTGGTAGTGCCAGGGGAGAAGGAGAGGGTGGTGGTCAACCTAGCTGACGAGAAGAAAGAGGAGACAGAAATGCAGACAGGGGAGAAAGGAGGAGAGGAGCCGGTCGTAACTGCTTCAGTGGGGGAGCGCTGTGAGGTATGGAAAAGTATGTGTGTATGCATGCATTCATGTTCTAACCCTACCATTCTCCTCTCCCCTGTCCACAGTGGTCTGCCTGTGTGTTGGTGTTCTAACCCTACCATTCTCCTCTCCTCCATCCAGAATGGTTTACGTGTGTTGGAGGGTCTGGCAGCGTCTGGCCTACGCTCTGTGAGGTTTGCTCTGGAGGTGCCTGGTCTACGTAGCGTCACGGCTAACGACTTCTCAGCCAAGGCTGCTGCCCTCATCGCCCGCAATGCCCAGCACAACGGGGTCACACACCTACTGCAGGCCAGCCAGAGAGACGCCAGGTTGGTCTCTCTCTCTATCTTTTCTTCTCTTTTTCTGAGTTTAGCTAGTCACTCTTTCTCCTCTTCTCCTTCGCTCTTTCTTATTTTCTTTCTTTCTGCATTTATCTGTGCTTAGCTCGCTCAGACAATCTTCTACCATTCTCCATTTATCTTTTCTTCTTTCTCCCTGTTATTCAATCTCTCTCCATCTTTACCTCTTTCGATCCACCTCTTTCTCCTACCCTCTTTCTCTTCACCCGTCATGTTAATTCCTCTCTCTCTCTTTCCTCCAGCATGCTGATGTATGAGATGCGGGGGAAGAAGGAACGCTATGATGTCATAGACCTGGACCCCTACGGAAGCCCCGCCCCTTTCCTGGATGCAGCCGTGCAGGCCGTCGGTGAAGGAGGTCAGTAGATATGTCAGCTATCCTTTTCTCTCTGCTTAACTGAACATATTTAAGTTTCAGCAACAGCTACATTGAGTGCATTTTCAGGTGTGGTTTTACTAAAAATGTTTTATTTTCTCTCTCTCTCCCTCCCCCAGGTCTGTTGTGTGTGACGTGTACTGACATGGCTGTGATGGCTGGTAACAGTGGGGAGACCTGCTACAGCAAATACGGCTCTGTCTCCATCAAAGCCAAGTACTGCCATGAGATGGTTAGGAACACTGAGCTAAACTGTATTCAAGCAACGTGTATTTTCAACTAAAACGGAATGCAAGAAAAACCTTGTTGGAAAATTACATGCGTGTTGTAGAAGGGAAATTAGGGAAATTGTGTGAATACATTTAGAATATAAGTTTTTGTGAGTTTAGTCCCTGCTGTGTAGCTTGTCTCATAACTCTCTATCCTTCTCTCTCTCCATCACCCCCCCCCCTACCTTCTCTCTCTCCATCCCCCCACCCCCCCCCCCTTCCTCTCTCCTTCACCACCCCCCTCTTCTCTCTCTCCTCCCCCAGGCTCTGCGGATCATCCTGCATAGTCTGGACCAGAGAGCTGGTGTGTACCAGCGTTACATCCACCCCCTGCTCTGTGTCAGTGTGGACTTCTACATACGAGTGTTTGTCAGGGTACACACTGGACAGGCCATGGTCAAAAACTCAGCAAGGTATGGACACACACACACACACCGTAACACAATACTTTATCTAGACATAAAGTCTTCATAACAGACTTGAAAGTTGTTATTCTGAAGATATGACATTATACCTGTAATGACGAGTGTTGATTGTTGTTGTTGTGTTGTATTTCTGTTTTCAGTAAACAAGCGTTGGTGTATAACTGTGTTGGTTGATATTGTGTTATATTCTTTTTCAGTAAACAAGCGTTGGTGTATAACTGTGTAGGCTGTGGATCCTTCCACTTACAACGACTGGGCAAGAGGACGACTCAGGGAAAACAGTAAGACATCATTTCTCTATATGGATTATTCATGTGGAGTTGGGGAAATTGTGTGTTAATGTGTGTGTGTGTGTGTGTGTGTGTGTGTTTCAGTATAAAGTACTCTGCAGCCACTGGACCGCCGGTCGGAGCAGAATGTGAACACTGTGGACACAGACACCAGGTGAGCGCGCGCGCGCACACACACACAGACTCTCTCAAATGCACACATTGTCTCTTACTTTCTCACACATTCTCTCTCAGACACCGTCTCTCCCTCCCTCCCTCCCTCCTCTCCTCTAGCTGGGTGGTCCTATCTGGGGTGAGGCCCTCCATGATGTGAGCTTTGTTCAGAAGGTTCTATCTGCCGTGTCTGGGAACCCGTCCCGCTTTGGAACCGCCCGACGCATAGAGGGCATGCTCAGCATGGTCACAGAGGTGAGAGGTTAGGGGTCAAAGGTCAACAAGACGCAGTCTGAAATACACTTTATACTATTACATGGAATAAGACATGGGGGGCCTTTTCTGCATACTCCTCGCCGCCTCCTCAAAACCCATTGGATGAGAAAGCCAGAAGTCCCTCACCTCTGACCTTCTCCTCCAATGGGTTTTGAGAAAGAGGAGAGGAGTACGCAGTTGAGATTCGACCATTGACACATGATCTAAGGTTAGTTTGGGGTTCTCACTCTTAATGGTAGGATTGGGAGAAAGGGTAAGCTGATCCTAGATCTGTGCCTAAGATGAGCCAGGTGTAATGTCCAGACTAACTTTTGTCTGTGTGTGTGTCCAGGAGCTGGAGGATGTGCCTCTATACTATACAGTGGACAACCTGAGCAGCACTGTACACTGCAGCACTCCCCCTCTACTCCAATTCCGGTAAGACCTACTCTCCTTCTCAAATAAGACTGACTTGTCTGATTACAGAAAATACAACTCACTCTCTCTCCCCCTCTTCTCTCTTTCTCCCTCTTCTCTCTCTCCTTTAACTCACCCTCTCTCTCGCTCCCTCTCCCCCCTCTCTCTCCTTTAACCCACCATCTCTATCTCTCTCTCTCTCCTTTTACTCTCCCTCCAGGTCTGCTCTGCTTCATGCGGGCCACAGGGTGTCTTTGTCTCATGCCTGTAAGAATGCTCTAAAGACGGACGCTCCTCCCAGGGTCCTCTGGGACGTCATGCGATGCTGGGTAAGACACAGTGCACCAAAGGGAACCATTTCAATACGGGATGAAACTCAAAGTCCAAGTCCCAATACAGCTGAACATTTTTGGATTACTCAAAATGTCAGTTTAACATTAAAATTGCTATTTTGACCGTAGGTGGTTGTTATCTTGTATCCTGCAGGAGAAGTCCAATCCAGTGAAGAGAGACAGACTGTCAGAGAGCAGCCCTGCTCACCAAATCCTCAATACTGAACCCATGTAAGTCTGGGACTGAACCATACCCACTGAACATGGAACACAGATGACTACACCAAAACAATCTAACATAGAAGAGATGGTATAAATGTAGTGATGATCTCATGTATTGATGATGATGATGGATATTAGGGAAATGTATGTGTATTGAAAACAAGCACTGAAAAGCCATCATGCCCTCCCTCTCTCTCTCCCCCTCCCCTGCTCTCTGTCTCTCTCTAGTCTACAGGCGTGTTTTGATGTGAGGGAGGATGCCAATCCCCAGTCCCGTCGTCGCCACCTCACCCGCTTCCAGGAGAACCCTGAGCCATTCTGGGGGCCCAAGGCCCGCGCCAAGGCTGGGTAGGACACACTTATTAATACTAACCCCGTCCCTAACCCTAAACCTCAGGCCAGCTGGGTGCCCAAGGTCTGCGCCAAGGCTGGGTATGGACCCTCAGACACTTATTAATGATGATCTCAACATGAAGTTTGCCAAGGAATATTTATACAGTATTGGTTTAAACTCCCCCCCCCCCCCCCCCCCCGCCATTGTTTCTTCTTGCTGTCTGTATCTCTCCACCTGCCTCTCACTCTCTCTTCCCTATATTCTCTCTCTCGCTTTCCTCTCTGGCCCTCTCTCTCCTAGTGGTGGAGGTATCTCATCAGACCTGGAGGACAGGAGGAAACAGGGTCAGAACAAGAGAAAGAACCAGATTACAGACGCCACCCAGCTCAAGAGCTTCCCCTGCAAGAGGTTCAGAAAGGTACAGGGAGACACTTATTCTCTCAACACCCCATAATAGCCATATAGGCAGAGTAGAATTATAAGGCAGCCCAATTGCTGATCTTTTGACCAATCAGATCAGCTCTTTTGTCAGTCCTTTGCAGCCTAAGAGCTTTCCCTGCAAGATGATCAGAAAGGTGTGGTTACACCACTTTCCTCAACACCAAAGGCATAGGCTGTGTTTACACAGGCAGACCAATTCTGATCTTTTTCACTAATTGGTATTTTGACCAATCAGACCAGCTCTAAAAAAAGACCTGATGTGAAAAGATCTGATGTGATTTGTCCAAAATATCAGAATTGGGCTGCCTGTGTAGAGGCAGCCACAGTCATTTTTCACAGGAGCTTTCTCTTTGGTAAAATGTTCTGAAGGGTGTGAGCACACTCTGTTCTTCTCTCCACATTTCATAATAACGCTGTCGGCATAGTAACCGTACACTACCAGAGAACAAGGTGTTCTCACTATCCCCCCAGCAACAGACAGTGCCTCATTAATTATGAATCATAATAACACTTCAGCTATTATTACAGAAACATTTTCCACACAATAATAAACCTTATAAACTGGCATTGTTAAATACTCGTTATTGGCTTGAAGGGCATTCTAGAGCGTGCATTATTTCCCTATAACGCATTATATAACACGGTATATCCGCACGGTAGAATTCAATGGCTATACTTCATTCTTACATATTTTGTTTGAGATGCTTTTTAAAGCAAAAGTCGAATTGAAAACATTATTGGTATTGTTTAATTCGTACTGATGGTTTGGTTAGCTAAACTAGCAAGTCTGTTTGTTTGGTTACCACGGCAACTACTGTAGCTACCTAGTTAACTTGCTAGTTACTTCAGTGGATGTTGAACACATTTCTAGTGGCAAATATGTTGAATTATAGCCATGGTATAAAAGGGATAATCAACTCTGTGCTCTCTGGAAAGTAATGCAACGCTGTGGAAGGTCAGTTCCACTCCACTGGCGTGTCGTGGAACACACCTTCCACCTAATTCATTATTTTCCATAGAAAGCATAACAATGATTTGCATAACAATGCATTTAACTTTTTCTCTCTTCCTCTCTCGTTGTCTGCCCCCATCTCTCTCCACCTCTTTCTCTCTCCAGGGTAAATGCACACATGGTGAAAAATGCTGTTACTCCCATGACCTGGAACAGACTGACAAGATGGAGTGATTATGGAGCGATTCCTTCCTACTCTCCTTTCTTCCCTCTGTCTTTCTCTCACTTGGAACATTGAGTTGGTATCCTCATGTCCAGCCCAGCAGACTCTGTCCACTGTAAGGTATACTGGACACAATCAGGGTATGGAGTTTTCCCACTGACTAAGCAACCAGGTAAAACTCCAGGCCCCAGACATAATTAACTTGGAACTCTACCGGTTATGGCTCCGGGGTGAAGTTTCCCCCTTGATACAAATCTAGGATCAGCTTCCCGTCCCCCAATCCTCTACGTAACCAGAGGGAGAACGCAAAACTGACCCAAGATCAGCGTCTAGGGGTAACTTCACTACAAAACATTATGGAATGTGATAAGTTAGTTAGCCCTGTATTGGAAATACATGTACACATGTGATGTGGACAAACTGGCTTCATACTGAAGTGAAGCATCAATTGTTTTATTTTTGACTGTTGACAGTCCAATAAAAATCCTTATGCCAAGTGTGGAGATGTCATTTGCTCTGGTGAAAAATAGCTTTTACAGATACATTTTTTTTTATACCACCAGTCATAATTTTCTATTTGTTTTGACTTTGTCCTTAGCTTTGACTTCCGTTGTAGCAAATATTAAGTTGTATATTATATAATATTGTGGAAGAATGGGTAAGTGAATACACACTGAGAAAGAACCTGGGTTTTTAATATCAGCTGCACATTGATCACTTAGATTCAACACAAAAGCTGTGTTTACACAGGCAGTTCAATTCGGCTCTTGCCACTAATTGGTCTTATGACCAATCAGATTGGATCTTTTGCCCATAATTGGGCTGCCTGTGTAAATGCAGCCTAAACCACTAATTTAAAAAAATGAATTCAATTACGAAAGGCACATTCGAGAGAAATACAAATCCCACAGAATAATAATAATCACTCGCCCTGTAGAAAATGTGCACCAGTATGTGTATCAGGAAATATCAACAAAAATATGGGTAACAGGTGTATACTGTGTGAATAGTTTGTCACTAACATGTTGATAAGTAGTTATGAAATGGCTTTGGAATACCAGAAAGGTTGTGGTATTGGCACTGTAAAATGGAGTTTAAATACAATATAAAGGAATTGTTCAGGCAGCTTCAGCAAATAAGCTCTTCTATAAGACCTAGTTTACAGGAGCTTATTTCAAACCCACTCATGTCAACTGAATTATGACAAATCCTGTTCATTTAATTCATCTTCGTGTGGACAGAGGTACTCAGACCCCAAATTATTTACATCCAATCAAGGCAGTGAGGTCACAATTGCTAAGTCACAGGGATTGGTTGATTGATACTGCAGTGCTGATTGGTAATTGGCTCGTTCTGGAACGGAGGTTGGTGATTGACTATCTCTGCCTGACGCGGAGCAGGAAGGTGCGTATCTCCATGGGCTTGAGGTTCACCTCCCACATAGAGGGGTCTCCCTCTCTCTTCGGCAGGGGCTTCTCACCTGAGGCAAATGGAGACAACAGGCATCAAGTTCTGTGCAATGAATACAGCAAAAAGCCAACTTTCCACAATGGACTAACAAAGGAATTGTTACTGCTACAATAAAGCATGTCAAAGGTCTTCACTCGTCCTGGAGGGCTGACTAAGCAGAGAGCTGAAGGAATTTGTTAGACCTGTGTGATGCAGCCCTGGAGTACTAATAAACGCAAGTGTACCTGACTCCGCCTTCCAGTCCAGACGAGTCATCTCATCCTTCCACTGATTGGCTGACAGGTTCATCTCAGACACACCCAGCACATCCAGAGTGGAGAACAGCTTCTACAGAGAGAGAAGTGTGTGAGTGACTGTGTGTGGTACTGACATCAGAGAGTAGAGAATGGACCATTGCATTTTATTTCATGTTTTCAAAGTGGTTTGAAATTAATTTACTTGTGAATAACAGTTGTTACATGTTGAGACTGAGGAATGTGTGGTATTATTAAAAGGGTTCACTTTGTTTATGGGTCGTATGCATACGTGTGGGTGTTAAGAACCTGTAGGTTGACAGTGAGTTAATCTTGCGCTCCATAGCCCGATACTGATGCTCCAGTCTGAGCAGCACTGTGTGTATACAGTATTACATATCACTAACCTGCAGATTAACAGAAACAGGCTGGGAATGTTCCTTGCTCTCTGAGGCTTGGTACTGATGCTCCAGTCTGAGCAGCACTGAGTCCTGGTCCCACTGAGACACTGTCAACAGGTGAACAGCAGGGGGCAGCACTGCCTGTAGCCCAGAGAACTGAGGTGGGGGGGGGAGAGAGCGAGTTAAAAAAGATTGGTTAATTTCAATAGTCCAAAGTGACACTCTTATTTCATCTGCAGAGCTGATAACTGTGCCTCAATCAGCCTCATCCTTCACTCTCTCCCTCCTTCTTTCCTAGATTCCTCGCATCCACTCCTCACCTTCTCAAAATCCATTGGAGAAGAAGGCCTGAGGGGAGGGACCTTGGACCTTCTCCTCCAATACGGTTGAGAAAGAGGCAAGGAGATGCAGATAGGAGATAGAGCCCATTTCTCACCTCCAGTCTGGTATTAGGGTGCAGCTCTCCGTCGGTGAACGTGATGAGAGGCTGCAGTACCACTTCCTGTGCTAGGGGGCGGTGTGTGTCAGCGGCCGTGGCAGGGGGGCTGAGGGAGAGGAGGAGGCGACCACGGACCACCAGGCCTTCTGGGTAAATGTCAGACGTCTCGTTGAGGGGCTCACCTACACCCCGGACGTCATCGTACAGCAACCTACGGTGGAGCTGGGGGTGAGAGGAGAGTGTAAGATATGACAGTGATAGACAGGGTGTGGAGCCGGGGGTGAGAGGAGAGTGTAAGATATGACAGTGATAGACAGGGTGTGGAGCTGGGGGTGAGAGGAGACTGTAAGATATGACAGTGATAGACAGGGTGTGGAGCTGGGGGTGAGAGGAGACTGTAAGATATGACAGTGATAGACAGGGTGTGGAGCTGGGGGTGAGAGGAGACTGTAAGATATGACAGTGATAGACAGGGTGTGGAGCTGGGGGTGAGAGGAGACTGTAAGATATGACAGTGATAGACAGGGTGTGGAGCTGGGGGTGAGAGGAGACTAAGATATGACAGTGATAGACAGGGTGTGGAGCTGGGGGTGAGAGGAGACTGTAAGATATGACAGTGATAGACAGGGTGTGGAGCTGGGGTTGAGAGGAGACTGTAAGATATGACAGTGATAGACAGGGTGTGGAGCTGGGGGTGAGAGGAGACTGTAAGATATGACAGTGATAGACAGGGTGTGGAGCTGGGGGTGAGAGGAGACTGTAAGATATGACAGTGATAGACAGGGTGTGGAGCCGGGGGTGAGAGGAGAGTGTAATATGACAGTGATAGACAGGGTGTGGAGCCGGGGGAAAGAGGTGAGACGTAAACAAACACAGATGATGTCTGATGCCAAAATGCTACCACATGAAAAATGAGAGTAGTGAGAGTTTATATGTTACCATGATCTCCAGTGATCCATCCTGGATGCTGCCTCCTCCCTGAGAGCGGTCGGTCACTACAGTCAGCTGGTCCTTGTCATCCTGTATACACACACACACACAGTGTAAGTCATGATTGACTATTGTTTGTCCGATAATATCACGTAAACTTCACGACTTTGTAAAACAGAGTGAAGAAGAGAACAGCAGGGGGAGCCGGAGAGTTTAGAACCAGAAGGCTAACACAGAAAAAGGAATTGTAACTGAAAGAGAGTAAGTGAAAAGAGGCAAAGAAAGTGCATGATCATAAGAGAGAGAAAGAGAGAGGGAAGAAAGAGTGGCAGACAGAGGTGTATGACCAAGGTGACACACCTTAATGTAAGCTCTAGAGTTGATTGGATAGTAGTTTCCAGCGATTGGCTCAGACTGTCTCAGGTTCCATGTGGGACGGTAGTCTTTCCTGTCAGATACAGATATACAGTACAATGCATTAGGGTGTATACTGTATGTGTCTGAACCCACACAACTGGAATACGGTACTCCATAATGAACAGATTATACAGATACGTAGATTTGTGAAACACGCACACTGTTTCTCGCTCCGTCTCTCACATGCGCACACACACAGGTTCCTCACCGTCTCTGCAGCATCTCTCTGCCATTAGAGTCAGTGTAGAAGACACCAGAGGAGTTGATGCTGCTGTCTAGACGACTTATCACCTCTTTACCCAGGTCATCACTGACAGGGAGAGGGGGGGGTGCAGAGAGAGAGAGAGAACACTATAATCTATGGTACAGGAATGGTTTCTAGTCAGTTTACAGTCCTTTTAAAGACTCGCTCCTACTGCCAGACATTCACAGGCTACCTCAATGACACGCCATTCTCCTTCCAGTGCATTATTTGTGACCAGGCCCTGTGTGGCTCTGAGCCCTTCACTCACCCTATAGGCACAGGGCCCACAGTCCACTCCAGTTCCAGAGCCCTGCTGTCTGTGTACAGACGGACCACCTGAGAGACCCAGGGACTAAACCACTGTCTCACCTCCTGCACCACGGAGTTCTGATGGAGAGGGGGGAGGGAGACATGGAGAGGGGGGAGGGAGACATGGAGAGGGGGGAGGGAGACATGGAGAGGGGGGAGGGAGACATGGAGAGGGGGTAGGGATGGAGATGGAAGAAGAATAAGAGAACAGAAGGGGGTTAAGGCAGAGAAAATAAATAGTGAGATGACTAGAATGAATCTCTTGAATGTTTAATAGTGGGTCTTCTGCATATAGAATTATATTGAAACATATGGAAGTAAATACACTACATGAAAAATGTGCCTGTTGACTGTAGCAGTATAGTGCAGTAGGTACCTGTAGTGTTTCTATCTTAGCCGTCTTGCTGATGATGAAGGGGGTAGAGGTGTTAGGTCTGAAGATGTAGGCCCCTGACATCTGAATACTCTCTGAGTTTTTACCATCACTGGCATTGTACCTACAGAATACATACACAGAGCAAAGATGACAGAAAAGCCCTCAATGTAACAATGCTAGCATACAAAGATGACAGAAAATAATAGGATGGGGAGAGAATAGGAAGGAATGGTAGAGAGAAATGGAGAGGTAGAGAGAATAGGAAGGGATGGTAGAGAGAAATGGAGGGAGAGAAAGGGAGGGTAGAGGAGAAACGGAAAAGGGGAGGGGTTAGTGAGGGTAGAGAGAAACGGAAGGGTAGAGAGAAACGGAAGGGTAGAGAGAAACGGAAGGGTAGAGAGAAAAGGTAAGGGTAGGTAGAGTGTAGAGAGAAACAGCAGAAGGGTAGGTGGTAGTAGAGAGAAAACGGAAGGGTTAGAGAGAAACGGAAGAAGGGTCGAGGGTAGAGAGAAACGGAAGGGTAGAGTGGTAGAGAGAAACGGAAGGGTAGAGTGGTAGAGAGAAACGGAAGGGTAGAGTGGTAGAGAGAAACGGAAGGGTAGAGTGGTAGAGAGAAACGGAAGGGTAGAGTGGTAGAGAGAAACGGAAGGGTAGAGTGGTAGATGATTTAGAGAGAGAAGGAAGGTAGAGTGGTAGGAGAAACGGCAAGGGTAGGAGGAGCGGAGATGCGAAAGGGTTAGAGAGAGATCCTCTGTAGCTCAGCTGGTAGGGCACGGCACTTGTAACGCCAAGATAGTGGGTTTGATCCCCGGGACCACCCATACACAAAAAAATAAAATAAATGGACGCATGACTAAGTCGCTTTGGATAAAAGCGTCTGCTAAATGGCATATTATTATATATATATATATAGATAGATAGATAGATGGAAAGTTAGAGAGAAATGGAGAGGGAGAGAGAGTAAGTAGTACTAACCAGTAGAAGTTCTGTGACAGTTTGACAGTCTGTTGTGTCTCCAGGTTACTGAGGCTGCTGAGGAGACCTGTCTCTGGGTCAAAGGTCACCCTGAGGAACTAGAGGAGGCACATCAAAGTGACAGAACAGGTGACATCCAAATCTAAAAACAACCTAGATACAATACTTTTCCAAAAAGTTTCCAACTGACTTTATACATTGATATTATGTCATCATCATGGAGACATATTATACATTTTGAAATATGCGTCTCCATTGATGACATAATATCGATACATAATATATTCACTTTCATAGTATAAAGTAAGTCTTTGTACGGCCATAAGACCCAGACCTTGTTCTGTACAGCCTTGGGAGCCCTGGGAAGTGGAGAGGCCTGTGGAGATGGAGCCCCGTTCTGAAGCAGGGAGACAGAGTAGGTGCTGTAGCCCAGCGGAGGGGCCTGAACCTGGAACAACAGCTCGTTGACAGCGTACCCCCTGCCCCTTCGCACTGCCGCTGTGGCCTGGGACACTGGGACCACCTGAGGGGGTGGGGATAGTTATGGAACGCACACACACACGAGTCGTACACAAACGCACACACACACACACAATACATAACTGTCATAACAAGGGTTATTGAACAACTACATATGACAATCGTTTAGGTAAATCATTATCAAAACACACAGACAGACACACACACCTGACTGTCCACAGCCTTGCCGTTAGCGTCTGAGATACTGTAGGCCGTCCCGTTGACTGGCAGTCTCACTGGCCAACTGACTGGACGAGCCAGAGGGTTGTACACATTCACTGAGAACTGACAGAGAGCGAGAGAGAAACATGGAAAAAGAGAGGAGGGGAATTTAACTTCACGGAACCAAAGAGGAATTGTGAGTGTGTGTGTGCCTGTGTGTGTGTTACCTTCTTGCTGGTCTCTGTGAGGGGACACACACTGATGTTGAGGTGTTCACAGTAAACACGAGGAGCAGATGATCCACTCAGAGAGGATAGAGTGTTACTGACCAACACCTGGGGGAGAGAGTGAGAGGAGAGGGGGAGACAGAGGGGATGAGAGAGAGAGGGGGGACAGAGGGGATGAGAGAGAGAGGGGGGAGAGAGAGAGGGAGAGGGGAGGGAGGGAGAGAGAGGGAGAGAGAGAGCGGGAGAGGGGAGGGAGGGGAGAGAGAGAGAGGGAGGGAGGGGAGAGAGAGAGAGGGAGAGAGGGGAGAGAGAGAGAGGGAGAGAGGGGGGAGGGAGGGAGAGGGGAGGGAGGGGGGAGGGAGAAGGGGAGAGAGAGAGGGGGAGGGAGAGAGAAGAGGGGAGAGAGAGGAGGAGAGAGTCAATCATATACAGTTCATCTAACAAGAGAGACTGCATGGATCAATTGAAAGAACACGCACACACACACACGGTAGGTACCTGGCAGTGTGCCCAGCCATTGGCCAGTCTCCTAGCGTAGTCATTGGCAACATGTTGCTTCTCCGTCCCGGATACGGCGTCGTGATGCTGAGCCACTGCCATGGCCTTCTCTACCAATCACAACCCAAAACTCTCCCTGTCAACCCCGCTGTCCTCTAATCAGCTTCAAGCTTATTAATACATTTTATAAACACATCCCCCCCTAATATCTACATTAGCATACTACTTAGAATGCATATCTAAATACATTGCTTCATTCTAAGAAGCATGCTAGTATGGACATTGAAACAGAGTGTCCGACTGCCAATAGGCGTAGTCAACTCATGTAGTGATGAAGTAGTGCACTTGAATGTGATGAGTGTGTACACTAGCCACTTACTCATGGTCTCACTGTCTCCAGCTCCAAAGGGACCTTTCCTTGAGATGGGACCACCAAGGACCTCCAGCTGATTACACGTCTATGAAACAAGAGGGAGGAGAGGAAGGATGTATTGACGAAAAGTCTTCAAACATGTCCTCAGTGTGTGAGTACTGAACTTTCATCCCTGAGTCAATGTGTTTGATTGATAGTGGCTTTGCATGAAAAGTGTACAAGCTGTCAAATCCATGATTCCTCCCATCCTTGATTCCTCACCTCCCTCTGAAAGCTCATTGGAGAAGAGGCTCCAAGTCCCTCCCCTTCGACCTCCTCCTCCAATTTGGTTTTAGCGGGAGGCAAGGAACTGACGAATCAGGAGGACAGGAGGAATCAATGGCCAACTTTAAAGGCAAGTCGAGACTGACTGATCTACAAATCACCGTACATCATAAATAACTACTCAATATTACTTGTAGATCAGTCAGTCAGTCACAATCTATCCATGATACATCACGGTTTTGATGCTCTCAAACACGGCCAAAGATTTGACAGCTTGTATGCTTTTCAGACAAAGCCATTGTCTAAGGTTTGAGTCTTGTACCTGCAGGTAGCTGTTGCTGATCCTCTCATAGCGTTTGAGGGCTGGACGGCTGGTGAAGTATCCTGTCCAGAAGTCATGAGCTGAGTCAGCATAGGGGAAGAAATCATCTCCCTTTAGAGGCCTGACGGGGGGGGGGGGGGAATAAGAGAAAAATGGAGGGAGGTGAGAGAAGAAAGAGAGAAAATGTAAATTAACTGTACTTAATTTAATTACATATTTCCAGTATTCTAACTATCTCCAACCATGTGAGGTTAGTCCTGTGTAGTTCCTGTAGGTGACAGGAGAGTGTAGAGTAGAGAACGTTGACTTTAGAGCTGTTACTCTGACTAGCTAGCTACATTTACGTCATTTAGCAGACGCTCTTATCCAGAGCCACTTACAAATTGGTGCATTCACCTTATGATATAGCCAGTGGGACAACCACTTTACAATTATTATTTTTTAAATTTTAATTTGTTATATATATATATATATATATATATTTTGTGGGGGTGGGGGGGGGGGGGGTAGAAGGATTACTTTTATACTATCCCAGGTATTCCTTAAAGAGGTAGGGTTTCAAGTGTCTCCAGAAGGTGGTCAGTGACTCCGCTGTCCTGGCGTTGTGAGGGAGCTAGACATACAGTTTCATTTAGTATTATTACATTTACGTCATTTAGCAGACGCTCTTATCCAGAGCGACTTCCAGTTAGTGAGTGCATACATTATCTTTTATTTTTCATACTGGCCCCCCGTGGGAAACGAACCCACATCCCTGCCGGCCAAACCCTCCCCTATCTTGGACGACGCTGGACCAATTGTGCGCCGCCCATGGGTCTCCCGGTCGTGGCCGGCTGCGACAGAGCCTGGACTTGAACCAGGAACTCTAGTGGCACAGCTAGCACTGCGATGCAGTGCCTTAGACCACTGCGCCACTCGGGAGTCATATAGTATAGTTTAGTATAGTATTATAGTAGAATAGTATAGTTTAGTATAGTATTATAATAGCATCGTTTAGTATAGTATTATAATAGCATTCTATAGTTTAGTATAGTATTATAATAGCATCGTTTAGTATAGTATTATAATAGAATCATCTATTTTAGTATAGTATTAAAATAGCATCTCAGTTTAGTATAGTATTATAATAGCATCGTATAGTTTAGTATTATAATAGTATTGTATAGTATTATAATAGCATCGTATAGTATTATAATATAATTGTATAGTTTAGTATTATAATATAATCATAGTTTAGTTTGGTATTATAATAGCATCGTTTAGTATAGTATTATTATATCATTGTTTAGTATAATAATATAATCGTTTAGTATAGTATTAGAATATAATCGTATAGTTTAGTATAGTATTATAATAGAATCGTGTAGTATTATAATAGCATCGTATAGTATTATAATAGCATTCTATAGTTTAGTATAGTATTATAATAGCATTGTATAGTTTAGTAAAGTATTATAATATAATGGTATAGTTTAGTATAGTATTAAAATAGCATCTCATAGTTTAGTATAGTATTATAATAGCATCGTATAGTTTAGTATTATAATAGTATCGTATAGTTTAGTATAGTATTATAATAGCATCGTATAGTATTATAATATAATCGTATAGTTTAGTATAGTATTATAATATAATCATATAGTTTAGTTTAATATTATAATAGCATTGTTTAGTATAGTATTATAATAGCATCGTATAGTTTAGTATAGTATTATAATATAATCGTAGAGTTTAGTATTGTATTATAATATCATCGTATAGTTTAGTATAGTATAATATAATTGTATAGTATTATAATAGAATCGTTTAGTATAGTATTATAATATCATCGTATAGTTTAGTATAGTATTATAATAGCATCGTATAGTTTAGTATTATAATATCATCGTATAGTTTAGTATAGTGGTATAGTACCATGTGAGGTTAGTCCTGTGTAGCTCCTGTAGGTAACAGGAGGGTGTAGAGTACAGAACGTTGACTTTAGAGCCGTTACTCTGCTGCTGGTTGACGTAGCGGATGAGCTTGTCCAGGTTCTTATACCACAGGTTGGCGTTCTCATACTGGAAGTCTGACCCCATGGTCATTATGATGTGGTTGGTTTTATACACCAATGCCTGGAGCAGGGGAGAGGAGAGAGAGAGTGTATGTGTTATTATGACTAACCTGTGTGTGTGACCAACCTGTGTGTGTGTGTGTGTCTCATCTCTAACCTGTGTGTGTGTGACCAACCTGTGTGTGTCTCATCTCTAACCTGTGTGTGTGTCATCTCTAACCTGTGTGTGTGTGTGTGTGTCATCTCTAACCTGTGTGTGTGCAATGCTGAGGAACCTGGTCACCACATCGTCAACATTATAGTCCTCCAGATCAGGGTCGTCTCTGATTGGTGGATCGTCACATGACTGGTCCCAACAGAAGCCCTCCGGAGGGTTGTACCCGTTAGGGAGGATACCTGGAGGAGAGGGGGCTGGGTTAGGCTACAGGGGTGCTAGGGGTCAGGGTTCAAAGGTGGGAGGTCAGGTCAGTATTGATCACATGATTGGTCCCAACAGAAGCCGTCGGGAGGGTCGTACCTGTTAGGGACGATACCCAGGGGAGAGCGGGCTGGGTTAGGCTACAGCAGTGGCTAGAGTTCAGAGATCAGGGGTTGAAGGTGAGGTCAGTATTGATGAGGGGAGAGGGGTTTTGTCTAGGAGGTACAGCTTTTGTCAAAATTGACTTTTCGTAGCAGGTTAGGAGAACTTCCACAGCAGGTTAGGAGAATTAATGTAGCAGGTTAGGAGAATGAGGTTAATGTTAGGAACAGGGTTTAGGGTTCACTAAAATGCTTTAAAAAATCCACTTTTGACGTCAATTTGACATAAACTGTATCCCATCTAAACATTGACTGGGGAGAGGGGGGTTACACTATAGACTACACTTGAAAGTGGGGAGAGAGGACAGTCCCCTGTAGCTCAGTTGGTAGAGCATGGCGCTTGCAACGCCAGGGTTGTGGGTTCGTTTCCCACGGGGGGCCAGTATGAAAATGTATGCACTCACTAACTGTAAGTCGCTCTGGATAAGAGCGTCTGCTAAATGACTAAAATGTAAATGTTAGTGCCGAAAGGGAAAGTAATATTGATAGTAATATTGATAACCCGGGTCTATTGCAAAAACTGATTAGGGTGTAAGCATATGACGGAAAATATGTAATGGAACGACTACGTGAAGCTGTTGCCATATTGCTAGAGGTTGAAGGTCAAAGGTCAGTACCAGTGAAGAGGTCAGCCATGGGGGGGGTGAGGCTCTCGCTGGCCCTCCACAACATCTCCTGTTCCCTGGCTGCCATCCTCCTGCTACGATCCTGGTAGTCCAGACGACCAAAGAAGAAGCCGTCATAACCCATCTGGAACAGAGAGAATACACACACTAAAAAATAAGATGTTTTTATTGTCAAATACACCGGATAGGTGCAGTGAAATGTGCTGTTTTACAGGGTCACCCATAGTAGTATGGCGCCACCTGGAGCAAATTAGGGTTAAGTGCCTTCAAGAAATATTACCTTGTCGGCTCTGGTATTCGAACTATCAAGCTTTCGGTTACTGGACCAACGCTCAACACTAACTGCTAGGCTACCTGCCGCCCATTCAATACAACAAACACAGTAAGGACTCCAATCGTCCCTCTGACATAACAAATTACCTTTGAACTGAATGGAAAGACAAGGGAAACTCATGCTGTCTCAAGTGTTCTTTTTGACTAGGAAAACAGAGTAAAAAATGCTATCCCCACTTCTATTCCCAACTTGGGATCTCACAAGAACCTTATGACACTGACAACCTTTCAACAGACGATAGTACAACCATCCAAGACTATCTCTCTATCTATTCATACAATGGACTAAGACATGATGGAAAAGGAGTCGAAGAGATTTTCCTGGGCAAGAATAGACAGAGAAAGGCTGACAGACAGGATATTGTGAGGTAGAGAGAGACAGGAGACTGTGGGTTGTACTCACTAGGAACCAAACTGGCCAAAACAGGGAGGGACCTACCTGTATTTGTCCAATAAGAAACATTACTGTGTGCACTAATGAATACGACCCTTACCTGTGCAAACATGGAGGCGTGCTCGCGGGCGTGTCCGAAGGGGTCGATGTGCCAGGCGACGCGGGGGCGACCGCAGTGTCCGAACGTGTCGTTGAGGAACCGCAGGCCCATGGTCATCTGGTCTACGACCGCACTGTAGTGGGTGGTGGCCTCGTCACTCATACACCAGCCCCCGTTCACAAACTCCAACCGCCCTGAGAGGAGGGAGGGGGAGGGAGAGCCAGACAAAAGGGATGAAAACTAATTATAAATAATTAAAATCATTATTTAAAGTAATATATTACCTAATCACAGGTTAAAGGGGTTACAACTGTTTATAACCTCTGAATTGCATCTGTTCAATAACACCACCAGGAGCAGTCACACTCAGGTGAGAGATGATGCTTTATTACATCTGTATGACTGCTTTATAACACTGTTATTACACCTCTCTAACGCCTACATCCCTTCTCTCATTAACGAGCTGTTTGACAGTACTCTGCATGCCGTCTGACTGGCTCCTCCACCAGTGGTAGAAGGCGGACTCTACTGCTTTATAACTACTTCATAACATGCTTATAAAGGCTTTATAACCCCTCTGGCCTCACCCTCATTGACTAGCTGTTTGACAGTGTTCTGCATGTCATCAGTCTGTCGTTTCCACCAGCGGTAGAAGAAGGCTGTCTCTACGTAGATGAAGCGTCGGTCAGGGTTCTTCAGCAGTTGGTCCACCACAGAGTCCAGAATGTACTGCACACCCGCGTGCTGGATGTCATTACGGTCTGGAAGACAGACAGGTTACATACACAGGTTAGATAGACACACACACACACACACACACACACACACACACACACAGGTTAGACAACACGCATGCACATGCATTCGTGCACAATCTCACACACACACACACACACACACAGTGTAAGGTTAGATAGACACACACACAGAAATGATAGAGACCACACTAACATGTGATAACACATATGGACACGTGATACAACATCTATCATGCGGTTCACATCTACACACACACACAGTCATGAGGTTTGAACTGTAAAACCATGTGATTCTAGGTTATTGTAGGTGTTATGTATGCCTATAATAAAATATAATAAAAGCCTAACGACTATGTTTTTAACAATGGGTCAGTTTAACTGTTAACTCCACCACCTTGACCTATGCCATCCCTGTTTATGAGTGTGTTTGTGTGTGTAGATGTGAGCCACATGATAGATGATTCATTTCACTTATGAGAAGTTTGTTAGAAAACCACAGTTGTGCCAGGGGAAACTGGATCTGATAGGAGGGGACTGGATCTGATAGGGGGGGACTGGATCTGATAGGGGGGGCTGGATCTGATAGGGGGGGACTGGATCTGATAGGGGGGGGACTGGATCTGATAGGGGGGGACTGGATCTGATAGGGGGGGACTGGATCTGATAGGGGGGGACTGGATCTGATAGGGGGGGACTGGATCTGATAGGGGGGACTGGATCTGATGGGGGGGGACTGGATCTGATAGGGGGGGGCTGGATCTGATAGGGGGGGCTGGATTGATAGGGGGGGGCTGGATCTGATAGGGGGGGACTGGATCTGATAGGGGGGGACTGGATCTGATGGGGGGGACTGGATCTGATGGGGGGGACTGGATCTGATAGGGGGGGCTGGATCTGATAGGGGGGGACTGGATCTGATAGGGGGGGACTGGATCTGATAGGGGGGACTGGATCTGATAGGGGGGGACTGGATCTGATAGGGGGGGGACTGGATCTGATAGGGGGGACTGGATCTGATAGGGGGAGGATCTGATAGGGGGGGACTGGATCTGATAGGGGGGGACTGGATCTGATAGGGGGGGACTGGATCTGATAGGGGGGGACTGGATCTGATAGGGGGGGACTGGATCTGATAGGGGGGGACTGGATCTGATAGGGGGGACTGGATCTGATAGGGGGGGGACTGGATCTATAGGGGGGGGACTGGATCTGATGGGGGAGGGACTGGATCTGATTAGGGGGGACGTGATCTGATAGGGGGGGACTGGGATCTGATGGGGGGGACTGGATCTGATAGGGGGGGACTGGATCTGATAGGGGGGGGACTGGGTCTGATGGGGGGGACTGGATCTGATAGGGGGGGGGACTGGATCTGATGGGGGGGCTGGATCTGATAGGGGGGGACTGGATCTGATAATGGAGGGAAATGGATCTGATAGGGGGGGGACTGGATCTGATAGGGGGGGACTGGATCTGATAGGGGGGGACTGGGTTTGTTAGACCACAGTGAATGAGAAGATACAATGGGCAGCTGGTGTTACTTACTGTGTGTGGACTATACCAGAATATAACCAGACATGTTTAACCAGACGCACCCATAAGAATAGTAAACTAACAAAAATTCTACCAACTGGGGACATTTTGCCAGTCCCCACAAGGAAAAAGGCTATTTCTAGGGGGTTTAGGGTTTCGAATTAAGGTTAAAGGTTAGGAGGTAGGTTTTGGGGTTAGGGAAAATAGGATTTTGAATGGGAATCAATTGCGTAACCCCACAAGGTTAGTAAAACAAGACTGTGTGTGAGAGCGAGAGATACAGACCTCCATAAAAGTATTGGTCCACGGTCTTGAGCCAGCCGACGTCGTCGTGGGTGTGGGGGACCAGGTGGACGTTCAACATCCCAGGCTTGGTCGCATGACATGACTTGGATGTGTAGCACACAGACACACAATGATTAGTGATTTTAGCTGGTGGGCTATGTTTATGGGAAGGAGAGAGGCATGTCAGAGGCTACTTAGCTATAAAAAAAATTATTCAACCACCAATGATATTAGTGCAAGACTGACTATCTAGAATGGGATTTGTAGATTGCATTCACGTTTCACGTGGAAGTAAAAATCTGTTGGGCCAGGAATACAACGTCTGCTACTGTGTTCTCTACACGAAAATGAAAGTGTTTGAAATGGAAGTATTTGATCGGCTAAACCAGGAAAACATGAAGAAGTTTAATCAAAGCTGCTATACCAAAACAAGGTTTCAGTGTTTCTTTTCGCTTTTTCTATCACGGTCAGCTGCGTTATTATTCACCACAATAGGGATTGGAACTATAAACGTACCTTGTATCCACATGTAGGACTTTCTTGGGGTGTTTGACGGACGGGAAAGCCCCAAACGCCGCTTTGAAATAACAGGAGGAACACAAACGCTGCATACAGCAGAGTCGCCATCTTGGAAAAATAGCCACGAATCATGTGACATTTGTTTATATATCGTTTATATCATGTGACTTCCACCTAGACCACGCCTTCTAGGGGCAGACTTACTTTTTATGCTTTGAAGGGGGAAATTGGAAAGTTGTTGAGAGTAAAATTGAGATAGAAAATGTATGATTGGTTTATTGAAGACAGTAACACTTACACAGCCCACATAAATACAAAGGCATTGTAATAGTCACAGATAAATAAATGATTGAAGGAATGGGGAGGTAGAGAGAGAGATGGGGCTATAGAAACCATAGGCTACCCAGCATAGCCTATCCCACTATTAGTCTGACTATGAGTCATGGAATAATGCACTTTATAGCAAAGACATATTTCCTTCAATGTCCCTTCATGATGATATAATGACATTCAAAACCTTTCCAACTAACAGTATTTTGCAATAGCTACATTTGACATTCGGCTACATTGCATTTAGTTGTGATGACGTGAGTTTCTTTTTCACTGTATGTTATTGTTAAGTAACAGTCACAGTGATCAATATAATAGGGGGATTGATCAAGATTGCTTGATGGCTGCTGAAGTGAAGTCCTTATTTACAAACGGGCCACATTGTGAATTATATTTGAATAGAGAGGCCATGCATACAATATAAATGCTCAGTTCAGACTCTCCTTACACAACAACATTGTCTTTTCAGCATCACTAGTTGGGTGACTTGAGATAGGCCTAGGTAAGGCTATCCAAGTAACACAACTCCTCCATGGAGTTGAGCGCAGACTCAAGTTTTTTAAACAAACCTCCGACTCCTTCAAGTCTCTATGCGTCGATACTTCAAAATGATTGATTGATGTCAATGTAAATGATTAAACCCTTACCGTGTACCTACGCTGAGATGCCATCTTGAGTTGACAGCTTCGGGAGGCAGGTAGCCTCGCGGTTAAGAGCATTGGACCAGTAACTGAAAGGTCGCTGGTTCAAATCCCTGAGTGAAAAATCTGTCGATGTGCCATTGAGTAAGGCACTTAACCCTAATTTCTCCTGTCTGCTAAATGACTAAAATGTAGAGCAACAGCTGAGTAATCAATCAGTTGTTGGTTGTAGTTCGTCGGAGGTTCAATTAAAAAACTCTGGTCTGCGCTCAACTCCGTTGAGGTACTTGGCAAAGCTAAAGCAGGGTTTTGGCCATAACAAGAGAGGGCTGCAGAGTTAGGTTTAGGGTCCAGAAAGAGTGGGGGTCTAGGATGGGTTCCCATTGGGTCAAAAGAAGATGTTCAGAAAGAGAGAGGTTAGGGAGCAGTAAAGAGTGAAGTAGGGTTCATGTTGGGTCCTTTCTGGGGCAGAAGAGCACATTGGTGTTTATTTGTAATCATGGTATTTGTTGGGCAGTATGCAGGAAGGGTTCCCATTGGGTCAAAAGAAGAGGTCCAGAAACAGATCAGAAGAGGTTAGTTCCCGTTCTCGTTGTGTCTCTCATGTGGACATATCAACAGTGTGGAGTCCAGGTCTAACCGAAACGCTGGGTACAACGGCTGAGAGAACAAACACCTGAACGTGTGGAGCAGGGAAACGGCGTCCGATGCCACACTATAGAATGACAACGCTCCCTTCTGGTGTTCCAAAAACACGCCGATCCGCGGGCACAGGGGTGCAGCTAAGGTCGTCTTCCGGTTATCGTGCCACGCGGCGTACCCGGCGTGCGTGCATCTCAGACGCCATGAGTTCTCGTTCCGTCCCAGCAGGCAGGGTTTTCCGCCCCCTTTAGATTAGAAAAATGTTAATAGAAAACTTTACTAGGTGAACTTGATAAGAAAACCTTTGGCTGTATGCAAAGTGGCACCCTATCCCTATATAGTGCACACATTTTGGCCGGAGCCAAATAGGATGCCATTTCAGACAAAGCCTTGATTAGAAAGACGTTATTACAAACCATTTTGTAACTGACATAAAAAATAATCACTAGAAGCAGCTACCTTTACGTCCAATCCCTTTGTACGTCACCCCGATGTCCACCCACCCTCCTCCCCTCCACTCCACCTCCCAGTAGCTCGCCCCTCCAAACTGGCCCTCCCTACAGAGGATCTGGGCCACAGAGTCGAAGCGCAGGGGGTGGAGGGGGTAGGACTGGGGCTCCTCTCCACAGTGAGCCCCCTGGGGACCCTCCAAGAGGAACAAGGTGGGGTGGGCCGTGTCTGGATCCAGGGACAAACGACAGGAGCCTGGGGGGAGAGAGAGATGAAGGGGTTAAAGGTAAGCGAGCGAGAGATCCATCGGGACCCTCCAGAAGGACCAGGGTGGGGTGGGCCGTGTCTGGGTCCAGGAACAGGAGATTGAGGAGATCAATGAATCAATGAATCAATCAATTAGATGCCTCAGGGCAGTAGTACTTGATTGAACAATCCATGACAATTATTTACCTGTTAGCTTAGAAGTCTCATAAACACTCAATAGCATTATCATGACCACTGGGTCCATTTCTAACAGAGATTATTGAACTAAATACACAACAGTTTTCCACGCAGTAAGAAGAACATTGTCCATATGAATGTCTGTCTGGAAATATGGCAGTCTTAATCTAATAGAACTATTATAATTAAGTACAATAAATTAACAATGCACTATTACGAAATAGCCTGGTTGCCTGGACAGAGGGACAGTGTTCTGATTGACATCTAGCCCAGACAGATATACAGTTACAGTCTGAAGGGCCCTACACACCCTACGCAAACAGTGCGACGGAGTGCCATATACGGTCCGTTCCAAAATTTGAGCCGCACAAAAGCCCGTAGAACTACGTAGAAAACGACGCTGCGTAAAGTGTGTAGCGGCCTTTAATCTAACCCAGACGGTGTGAATTATTAAACCTAACACCCGTCTCCATGATCTCACCCTGTGCATGGGCTTGTCTCATCATGTACCTGTTGTTCAAAGTGAACAATAGACAACTAAATGTCAGAAATATCATATCCACATACTATTCATGAAGGTAAAGAAAGCCCCAGACAGACATGGAGTACTTCCCAAATGGCACCCTATCCCCTATATAGTGCAATACTTTTGACCAGGGCCCTAGTCAAAAGTAGTGCACTATATAGGGAATAAGGTGACATTTGGGACACAAGCGCATTCTCAGGTTTCCCTGTCGCCCTCATTAACTGTGAAGGTGAGGAGGGGGAGAGGAGGAGGAGGAGGGAAGGAGGGCATGGGAGATAGAGAGAGAGAAAGAAAGAAAGAGAGAGAGATCCCCTTTCTGAGTAGCTCGGGGTTTACGCCAACGGCATGTCAACACCTGTGTGTGTGTGTGTGTGTGTGTTTCTGTGTGTGTCAGTGTGTGTGTGTCAGTGTGTGTGTTTCTGTGTGTGTGTGTTTCTGTGTGTGTTTCTGTGTGTGTCAGTGTGTGTGTTTCTGTGTGTGTGTGTGTGTGTGTGTGTGTTTCTGTGTGTGTCAGTGTGTGTGTTTCTGTGTGTGTGTGTGTGTGTGTGTGTGTGTGTGTGTGTGTGTGTGTGTGTGTGTTTCTGTGTGTGTGTGTCAGTGTGTGTGTGGTGAAGGGATGGCGTGGTTGTCACAGGACAGGGCAGGGTGTGAAAACAAAGTCGTCTCTGGTTACCACGGCGACCAGGGCAGCATCGCCACGGTGACAAGGTATACCGGTGGCATCGTCAGGGTGACAAGGTGTATCGTGTGTAGTACTTACACCTCAGGATGGCTGCTGTGTGTGTATGTGTGTGTGTGTGTGTGTATGTGTGTGTGTCAGTACTTACACCTGAGGAAGGACGCTCTCATCCTGTGGTCCGCAGGCTGGAGAGAGAGGGAGGAGAGAGGGAACGATGAAGGCACTGCTACAGAGAGAGAGAGAGAGAGAGAGAGAGAGAGAGAGAGAGAGAGAGAGAGAGAGAGAGAGAGAGAGAGAGAGAGAGAGAGAGAGAGAGAGGAGAAGGGAGAGGGGGTAAGGAGTAAGGAGGTGAGGGACAGAAATAGGAAGGAAAAGAGATGGGAAGAAAAAGAGAGAGGTGAGAGGGGGAGGGAGGTAGAGAATGAGTCAAAGAGGAATCACCTTTACATTCCAAATGAACTTATCATATCAGAAGTTACTGAAAACTATTCAACTAACATCAAATTGACTCACAAGAAAACTATGTTGACCCCATGTAGTGAAGTGGACACATCTCACTGTCCTCTGTCAAGTGAATAATTACCAGCTAATTAATGAAGTCATTATCTCACCCCTGGCCAGACATGTTCCCCCTACAGCCTGAGTCTTAGATGAGAAACACACACCACAGACGTGACCCTGAGAGAGCTGTGCGTGTGTGTGTGTGTGTGTGTGTGTGCGACTGTGCGTGTGTTTGTCCTATTCCTCTGGGCTTACCTTTCAAACACTCTCCACCAGACATGTGACAGGCAGAGGAGCTCTCGTTCACTACAGAGAAGGAAAACAGTGTGCATTATTGGAGTCTCTGAGAGCATAGCTGTGAAAACCTGCATGCAGTTGTTTGTGTTTGAGTATAAACCTGTGTGTGTGTTTGTGTGTGTGTTTGTGTGTGTGTTTGTGTGTGTCTCTGTGTGTGTGTGTCTTGACTCCCCCTACCCGCGCAGCTGATCTTGTCCACTTCCTCTCTACAGAGTTCCTCCATGCGGGCCCTGAGGTGGGACAGAGCTCTGCGGGCTGCACTAAAGCCTTCTGTGGGGAGGATGAGAGGGGCTCGGGGGCGCCGTCCAGTGGGCGGGAGGACACACAGCAGGGGAGCAGCCTGGGGATGGAGAGAGGGAGGGAGGGATGGAGGAGAGAGGGAGTGATGAGTGGAACATTTTGATCATGTCACCGTTGGTTTCCTCTCTCTCATGGTTTAGGCTGTTTGTCTCACCGTCCTCCTTTTACTCCATCTCTTCCTCATTTCATACTTCTCTCTCCTTCATTTTTCAGCTTGGCTCTTTCTTTCTCAATTACCCTCCCTTTCCATCAGTGTCACTGTTTTCTTCTTTTCCTGTTTCCTCTTCCCTCACTTTCCTCCTCTCTTCTCCTGTGCTGGCATTATCCTCCGTCAGTGCTGTCCATCCCTACTCCCCCTCCCCCACCTGTAGAACTGAGCTTATCCTCGTCAGAGCTGTCCCATCCCCTCTCTCCTCCCCCACCTGTAAGAACTGAGCATTATCCTCCGTCAGAGCTGTCCCATCCCCCTCTCTCTCCTCCCCCCACTGTAAGAACTGAGCTCGTATCCTCCGTCAGTAGTGTCCCATCCCCTCTACTCCTGCCCACCTGTAAGAACTGAGCATTATCCTCCGTCAGTAGCTGTGCCCATCCCCCTTCTCCTCCCCCACCTGTAAGAACTGAGATTATCCCTCCGTCAGTAGCTGTCCCATCCCTCCTCTCTCCTCCCCCCACCTTAAGACTGACATTATCCTCCGTCAGTAGCTGTCCATCCCTCCTCTCCTCCCCCCCACCTGAAAGACTGAGCATTATCCTCCGTCAGTAGCTGTCCCATCCCCTCTTCTCCTCCCCCCACCTGTAGAACTGAGCGTTATCCTCCGTCAGTAGCTGTCCCCATCCCCCTCTCTCCTCCCCCCACCTGTAAGAACTGAGCATTATCCTCCGTCAGTAGCTGTCCCATCCCCCTCTCTCTCCTCCCCCCACCTGTAAGAACTGAGCATTATCCTCCGTCAGTAGCTGTCCCATCCCCCTCTCTCCTCCCCCCCACCTGTAAGAACTGAGCATTATCCTCCGTCAGTAGCTGTCCCATCCCCCTCTCTCCCCTCCCCGCCACCTGTAAGAACTGAGCATTATCCTCCGTCAGTAGCTGTCCCATCCCCCTCTCTTCCTCCCCCCACCTGTAAGAACTGAGCATTATCCTCCGCCCAGTAGCTGTCCCATCCCCCTCTCTCCTCCCCCCACCTGTAAGAACTGAGCATTATCCTCCGTCAGTAGCTGTCCCATCCCCCCCTCTCTCCTCCCCCCACCTGTAAGAACTGAGCATTATCCTCCGTCAGTAGCTGTCCCATCCCCCTCTCCTCCTCCCCCCACCTGTAAGAACTGAGCATTATCCTCCGTCAGTAGCTGTCCCATCCCCCTCTCTCTCCTCCCCCCACCTGTAAGAACTGAGCATTATCCTCCGTCAGTAGCTGTCCCATTTTCTTGTCTCTCCTCCGCAGCTCCTCCAGTTCTTTCTCCAGGGTCTCCAGCTCTCTCTCTGCCCTGCCCAGGACAGTTCTCTCCCGGGCCTCCAGCCTGGCCCTCACCTCCCCCCTGGTCCTCTCCAGACAGAGGGCCAGGTCCACGAACAGGGTATCGCTGTCCTCCAGGACTAATGCAGCTGATGCCTAGGTAAGGAGAGGGGAGAAGGGACTCAAAATGACAGAAAATAAAGGGGCAATGTTTTCAGTAATAAGCACCAAGAAAGTAAACATATACATTTAAATAATGTTGGTTTCATTGGTTATTTGTATTTTATTTCAAACCATATGTCTGAAATGTACTTTTATTTGTTTAACAATGCCAGGGGAATAGAGAGGGCTGAACGGTGTCCTGGCTTGCTATTGACAGAGAGCAACAACATGGCCAGACAATAAAGATGTAGGATCTTAATTTGACCCACTGACAGTTTGCTACAGCAGGAAAAGAATCCTGCAGCAACATGAAATTTGAATTATGTAGATTATAATTAATGGACATTTTTGTTTGGGTTGATACATTTTTCGTAAGGGAAAATCAAGTCTGAAATACCAGAGTGGAAATTACAAACTTCATAAGCCTTTTTAAACCTCAAATACACTACATGTTTTAAATGTCCTACATTGCAGGAAAGTTCTCCTGCAACAGGGTGATCAAATTAAAATCCTACATCTGTAGAACTTTTCTCCCCTTTTGTGTGCAACCGTGTTGGATCTTGCCTAGCCATCTTGTTTCAAGATGACCACAATGGAAATAAATCCCAGACTTTATTGTGTGTTATCCTCCATGATTTTACTCATGTGCATGTATGGCTTTTTCAAGTTTTATGTGTGCTTGTTTTTTAAATGGTTGAATTAATAAACTAAACTAAACTTCCAGATAGCAGCGGTTTTATGTGGTGGGGCGACTGTCTGTACTGCAGTCCAACTCCGCACTAAAAGCCATTTAATCTGATTACTATTCACTCTGCTTTGTGTGTCTGTGTCTCTCTCTCTCTGTGTGTGTGTGTGCGCACGTGCGTCCGTGTGTGTGTGTGTGTGTGTGTGTGTGTGAACCCCACCTTGACGGCCTCTATGCTCTGTTGAAACTCTTCCAGCTCCCTCTCTCTACTCCTGATCCTTCCATGTACTGACCTCTGAGAATCCTGCAACTGAACCTGAGAGACAGAGAGAGAGAGAGACAGAGACAGAGAGAGAGAGAGAGAGAGAGAGAGAGGAGAGAGATGGAAAGAAGGGGGAGGGAAAGAGACACCCCCTTTTGCCCTCAGAACAGCCTTAATTCGTCAGGGCATGGACTACAGCATGTCGAAAGCATTCATTTACATTACATTTTAGTCATTTAGCAGACGCTCTTATCCAGAGCGACTTACAGGAGCAATTAGGGTTAAGTGCCTTGCTTAAGGGCACATCGACAGATTTTTCACCTAGTCAGCTTGGGGATTAGAACCAGCGACCTTTCGGTTACTGGCACAACGCTCTTACCCACTAAGCTACCTGCATTCCACAGGGATGCTGGCCCATGTTGACTCCAATGCTTCCCACAGTTGTGTCAAGTTGGCTGGATGTCCTTTGGGTGGTGGACCATTCTTAATACACACGGGAAAGAGTGAAAAACCCAGCAGTGTTGCAGTTCTTGACACACTCAAACTGGTGCGCCTGGCATCTACTACCATACCCTGTTCAAAGGCACTTCAATCTTTTGTCTTGCCCATTCACCCTCTGAATGGCACACATACACAATCCATATCTCAATTGTCTCAAGGCTTAAAAATCATTCTTTAACCTGTCTCCTCCCCTTCATCTACACTGATTTAAGTGGATTTAACAGGTGACATCAATAAGGGACCATAGCTTTCACCTGGATTCACCTAGTCAGTCTATGTCATGGAAAGAGCAGGTGCTCCTAATGGTTTGCCCACTCAGTGTGTTTTGCATATACGTATATAGCGGACAATGAATCTTGGTCAGCATTCCAGTCTCTATAATTAGAGCAGCATTAGTGCCATAACAGCACTATAGCCCCATTAGTGACATACACCTACAGCAAGTGCCTACTTCTCTCCTTCTCTCCTGGGCCCCTCGTATGGGAGCGATACCCCAGATAGTATAGCCTGCCCACAACAGAGGGAGTACTGTGGGGTGTTTTCCAGTGACGTAACCAACCTGCATCAAACTGGTGCAGAGGGATATCATCTGCCACAATTCATAGGCTGCCATATCAGCCATTTTGCATAGGCTACTTATCATCTATTCAGTTGTTAGGGATAGTGGCAGTTTGTTAGCCTGCAGGTCCCAGATATGTTTTGTGCCAACCACAGACATTAAAACTAGGGTGCCAACTCTTTGTCGCTCATTGCCATGCCAAAATGGAGTTGGCAAGAGCACCAACATGTCTGGGACCAGGCTAACAGTTTGTACTCCTAGGTGGAAAGATCAACAAGTGTTTTCAGGAAACAACTTTGTTTTTAATCAGTTTTAAATCACCTGAGTGATGAGTAGGCTATGCAAAATTGTGAAGGTCCTTGAAAAGCGCTATATAAGTCCCATGTATTATGATTATGATTATTATTACTACCTGTTTCCGCGCCCTCTGCGCGTCGATGCTGTGCAGTTCCTCTTGGTCAGACTCGCACAGCAGACAGTCGCCGCTCCACGCCACCGCATCGCCCCCCGTCGCTGCCGCCGCCCTGCTCCAGGCCCAAACGGTGCTGCGCGCACAGCCTTTCCGCCAAGCTCTCCACCGCGGCAACAAGTTTATGCCGCCGCAACGTCCCCACGTCGCGATGCGGCAAGACGTGGAGCTCGCAGAAAGACGCAAAGCACACCAGACACGACTTGAGCGCTTTCAGTTTGTTCTCAACCGGGCAAAAGTCGCACGGAACGTCCCCTACGCCGCCTAGATAGAACTCCGGCGCCGTAGCCAGTTCGTTCAGTTTGAGTTTGTCCACTACTACCTCTTGTAGCACCGTGTTCCGCCGTAGCACCGGTCGAGGGCTGAACTCTTCCCGACATTGCGGACAACTGTAGTGACCAACGTCGGCTTGGTCCCAATAACAGTTGATGCATGCCATGCAGTAGGTGTGTCCGCACTGAATGGACACCGGATCCTTCAAGATATCCAGGCAAATAGGGCACCTGAACTGGCTCTCCGTTACCGAGATATTTGCCTCTGCCATATCGGTGATGAGTTTTCGTATGTTCTCCCTCTCGAGCCTCCGCCAACGTCAAACCAGTCTCCCTTTACCGTATGACTTCAACTACCGGTACATGCACAGAGGCAGCCTAATTCCCCGTAATAAATGCACAATAAATAATAATACTACTACTACTCCCGAGTGGCGCAGTGGTCTAAGGCATCGCAGTGTTAGCTGTGCCACTAGAGATCTAGGCTCTGTCGTAGCCGGCCGCGAACGGGAGACCCATAGGGCGGCGCACAATTGGCCCAGGGAAGGGGAGGGAATGGCTGGCAGGGATGTAGCTCAGTTGGTAGTGCATGGCATTTGCAGCGCCAGGGTTGTGAGTTCGATTCCCACGGGGGTTCAGTATGAAAAAAGTAATAATAAATAATTTATGCACGCACTAACTATAAGTCGCTCTGGATAAGAGCGTCTGCTAAATAAATGTAATAAAGGCACATACAGATTATTGGTAATAATACAGGAATTCCCCATAATAAACGAAAAATAATCTATAGTCTATGATAATAACAGACACACACACAAGTTACTAGAATATTCAGTTTTAATTTAATGAAGTATACTGTACATGGATATATTTCATTTTTATTCACATTATTAAAAGAGTAGGATATTTGTGGGACGGAACAGTTCATGGAAATAATATTTAAGGTGTGTGTGTGTTGGAGAGAGAGAGAGAGAGAGAGAGAGTGTGTGTGTGTGTGTGAGAGAGAGAGAGAGAGAGAGAGTATGTGTGTGTGTGTGTGTGAGAGAGAGAGAGAGAGCGAGAGCGTGCATATGTGTGTGTCTGTATCAGCCTTGAAGCTCTGTGATGTCCCAGACGAAGTTGAGAGATAGGTCCTTCATCCTCTCCTGATAGATCTGGTCAAAACGTTCACTCTGGGCCACCGTCAACGAGTTCTTCCAGTCTCCTATGGTACCTGAGAAAGAGAGAGAGAAAGAGAGAGAGAGAAAGCTAATGCTATGCTTGATGTACTTCTAGGTCTAGGGGGGCTCCCTCTCTGACTGGAAGGGGGGGGTCTAGGGGGGCTCCCTCTCTGACTGGAAGGGGGGGGGGGGGTCTAGGGGGGCTCCCTCTCTGACTGGAAGGGGGGGTCTAGGGGGGCTCCCTCTCTGACTGGAAGGGGGGGTCTAGGGGGGCTCCCTCTCTGACTGGAAGGGGGAGTCTAGGGGGGCTCCCTCTCTGACTGGAAGGGGGGGGGTCTAGGGGGGCTCCCTCTCTGACTGGAAGGGGGGGTCTAGGGGGGCTCCCTCTCTGACTGGAAGGGGGGGGTCTAGGGGGGCTCCCTCTCTGACTGGAAGGGGGGGTCTAGGGGGGCTCCCTCTCTGACTGGAAGGGGGGGGTCTAGGGGGGCTCCCTCTCTGACTGGAAGGGGGGGTCTAGGGGGGCTCCCTCTCTGACTGGAAGGGGGGGGTCTAGTGGGGCTCCCTCTCTGACTGGAAGGGGGGGGGGGGGTCTAGGGGGGCTCCCTCTCTGACTGGAAGGGGGGGAGTCTAGGGGGGCTCCCTCTCTGACTGGAAGGGGGGGGTCTAGGGGGGCTCCCTCTCTGACTGGAAGGGGGGGGGTCTAGGGGGGCTCCCTTTCTGACTGGAAGGGGGGGGGGGGGTCTAGGGGGGCTCCCTCTCTGACTGGAAGGGGGGGTCTAGGGGGGCTCCCTCTCTGACTGGAAGGGGGGGTCTAGGGGGGCTCCCTCTCTGACTGGAAGGGGGGGTCTAGGGGGGCTCCCTCTCTGACTGGAAGTTCTATAAAACGCCTTAAATACACCCCCTCTCTTTTCTGCTCAATTTCAACAATAAAGCCTCTAAACATTTCTAGTAGGAAATCTTATTTTCCTCACCTTTGCGTAGGAACTTCCCCTTGTTCTTGTCTTTGACGTGATCAGGCAGGAACTCATAGTTGGCCTTGTCATCTTTCTTCATGTTATTGAAGGTGACTCTCTCCACTATGCTGTCTATAGCTGCATCAGACAGGCACTTCCCTACAAACTCAGCCAGACGCACTACCACTGACCTCAGGTCCTGTTGTAGCAGGACACATCAAATAAAACCAAAGTGTCATGTAACTGAACAAAATTATAAACACAACATGTAAAGTGATGGTTCCATGTTTCATGAGCGGAAATAAAAAATCCCAGAAATCTTCCATACACACAAAAAGCTTATTTCTCTAAAATGTTGTGCACACATTTATATACATCCCTGTTAGTGAGCATTTCTCATTTGCCAAGATAATCCATCCACCTGAAAGGTGTGGCATATCAAGAAGCTGATTAAACAGCATGATCGCTACACAGGTGCACCTTGTGCAGTTTTGTCACACAACGCAATGACATACATTTCTCAAGCATTGAGGGAGCATGCAATTGGCATGCTGACTGCAGGAATGTCCACCAGAGCTGTTGCCAGAGAATTTAATGTTAAGTTCTCTACCATAAGCTGCCTCCAACGTCGTTTTAGAGAATTTGGCAGTAATTCCAACTGGCCTCAAAACCGCAGACCACAAGTATTTATGTCTGTAATAAAGCCCTTTTGTGGGGAAAACCCCATTCTGATTGGCTGGGCCTGGCTCCCCAGTGGCTGGGCCTGGCTGCCAAGTGGGTAGGCCTATGCCCTCCAAGGTCCACCCATGGCTGCACCCCTGCTAAACATGTGTATGTGATCAATATCATTTGATTTGATTTGATTTGCCCAGTCATGTGAAATCCATAGATTAGGGCCTACTGAATTTATTTCAATTTACTGATTTCCTTATATGAACTTTAACTGGGTAATATCTTTGAAATTGTTGCATGTTGCGTTCATATTTTTGTTCAGTATATTTGTGATATGCAAAAAAAACTCAAATTTGATATTATTAGTACCCAGATTCCGGCAGGTAGTCTGGCGGATAGGAGCGTTGGGCCAATAAACGAAAGGTTGCTGGATCGAATCCCTGAGCCGACAAGGTACAAATCTGTTATTCCCCTGAGCAAGGCACTTAACCCCCAACAACAACTGCTCTCCAGGTGCCGATGACGTAGAAATCGATTAAGGCAGCCACCTGCACCTCTCTGATTGAAAGGGTTTGGACTGAATGCGGAAGACACATTTCAGTTGAATGCATTCAGTTGTACAACTTACTAGGTATCCCCCTTTCCCATATATACTGCAGCTGTTATACCAGTCAAGTTTGACGTTTAGTTCAGCTGGATACATATAAAGCTATACCTGTTGCACAACTTGTTGCAGTAGTAACAGATGCATAATTGATGTAGCCTACTGTATCTTATAACAGGTCAGCGGTGTAGGTATTCATGTGGTACAAATATATTTTAATCAGTGTAAATGTCTGTTACCTTGATCATCTCTTCATAGCTGAGGAACAAGATGTTGTATTTGTCCTGGTTGTTGTACCATCCTCTGACATGGTCGAACCAGCAGCCACCAACCACTGAAGAGATGGGTTCACATAGGACAACAGACAGTAAGTGTTAGTCAGTGTGTGTTAGTTTTTGTTAGCTTATGGTTTTGTATGATACTGTGTTACACTGATGAAGCCAATTTGGCCAAAGAAGTGCCATTTGATGGAGGGACTGGGATTAGTAGCACTCACTCCATCCACAGAAGAACTTGTCCAGCATCTCGTCATAGTGTTCTGGACTGTCCAGATTCTTCATGAACTTAGAGAAGTGGAAGTAGGACACCAGGGTGTCTTTAGGGTTCCTGGTCACATAGATTACCTATGGAGGAGATAGGGGAGATATACGTTAACAGTGAGTAGTGTGTATGGAGGAGATAGGGGTGATATAGAGGTAGCCCTTTCCTGCAGTCAAATGACCAAAAGCGCCCTCTAGTGGCCTCATGGGTGGAATGTTATTCATATTTTTCATTAATAAACTATTTATTTTTTTACACAGAAAATCCGGTGTTTCTATGTCAAACGGTTTTGTTATATTTCAGTCTTCTGTGATGTAAATAAAGTGTAATATTGGGATGCAAACTTAAAATTGAATACAATTCAACTCTATATCTGACATGGTGTCAGGTGTCAGTGTGCAGCGGTAGGACGGAGTCAGGCTCAGGACACAGAACTGAGTAATAGACTAACTTTACTTGAAAAGCAACAAATCTAATTTCCACGCAGGGAAATACATCAGCTCACAGCAGTCATAAACACCAAACAAAGAACAATCACGCACAACACCATGAGGGAACCAGAGGGTTAAATAGGGAAATAATCATACGTGATGGGAACCAGGTGTGTACAATAATGACAAAACAAGTGGAAAACAGAAACGTAGATCGGTGGCAGCTAGAAAGCCGGTGACGACGACCGCCGATAGCCGCCCGCACAAGGAGAGGCACCAACTTCGGCGGAAGTCGTGACACATGGACTGATTTTTTTAAGCCCATAACCATGTGTGTGAGGTGTATACTTTTGTTTCAAAGTACAGTCGTGGTCAAAAGTTTTGAGAATGACACAAATATTAATTTTCACAGTCTGCTGCCTCAGTTTTTATGATGCCAATTTTCATATACTCCAGAATGTTATGAAGAGTGATCAGATGAATCCCTCTTTGCCATGAATATGAACTTAATCCCCCAAAAACATTTCCACTGCATTTCAGCCCTGCCACAAAAGGACCAGCTGACATCATGTCAGTGATTCTCTCGTTAACACAGGTGAGAGTGTTGACGAGGACAAGGCTGGAGATAACTCTGTCATGCTGATTGAGTTAGAATAACAGACTGGAAGCTTTAAAAGTGTCACACCCTGGCTCTGGGGACTCTATATGTTGAGCCAGGGTGTGTAGTTTCTATGTGTTTTGTTCTATGTTCACTACCTAGTTTTGTATTTCTATGTTGGCCAGAGTGGTTCCCAATCAGAGGCAACGAGTGTCAGCTGTTGCTGGTTGTCTCTGATTGGGAACCATATTTAAACAGTCTGTTTTTCCTTAGTGTTTGTGGGATCTTGTTCCGTTTGGTTTGTTCCGTGTTGGTTGTGTTAACCCTAGGACTGCACGTATCGTTTGTTGTTTGTTGTTTTTGTATTATCACTTAAGATAATAAATATGTTCGTTCATCACGCTGCGCCTTGGTCTACTCCGTCTTACGATCGTGACAAAAAGGAGGGTGGTGCTTGAAATCATTGTTCTTCCTCTGTTAACCATGGTTACCTGCAAAGAAACACGTGCCGTCATCATTGCTTTGCACAAAAAGGGCTTCACAGGCAAGGATATTGCTGCTAGTAAGACTGCACCTAAATCAACCATTTATCGGATCATCAAGAACTTCAAGGAGAGAGGTTCAATTGTTGTGAAGAAGGCTTCAGGGCGCCCAAGAAAGTCCAGCAAGCGCCAGGACCGTCTCCTAAAGTTGATTCAGCTGCAGGATCAGGGCACCACCAGTGCAGAGCCTGCTCAGGAATGGCAGCAGGCAGGCGTGAGTGCATCTGCACGCACAGTGAGGCAAATACTTTTGGAGGATGGCCTGGTGTCAAGAAGGGCAGCGAGGAAGCCACTTCTCTCCAGGAAAAACATCAGGGACAGACTGATATTCTGCAAAAGGTACAGGGATTGGACTGTTGAGGACTGGGGTAAAGTCATTTTCTCTGATGAATCCCCTTTCCGATTGTTTGGGGCATCTGGAAAAAAGCTTGTCCGGAGAAGACAAGGTGAGCGCTACCATCAGTCCTGTGTCATGCCAACAGTAAAGCATCCTAAGACCATTCATGTGTGGGGTTGCTTCTCAGCCAAGGGAGTGGGCTCACTCACAATTTTGCCTAAGAACACAGCCATGAATAAAGAATGGTACCAACACATCCTCCGAGAGCAACTTCTCCCAACCATCCAAGAACAGTTTGGTGACGAACAATGCCTTTTCCAGCATGATGAAGCACCTTGCCATAAGGCAAAAGTGATAACTAAGTGGCTCGGGGAACAAACATCGACATTTTGTGTCCATGGCCAGGAAACTCCCCAGACCCTAATCCCATTGAGAACTTGTGGTCAATCCTCAAGAGGCGGGTGGACAAACAAAACCCCACAAATTCTGACAAACTCCAAGCATTGATTATGCAAGAATGGCCTGCCATCAGTCAGGATGTGGCCCAGAAGTTAATTGACAGCATGCCAGGGCGGATTGCAGAGGTCTTGAAAAAGAAGGGTCAACACTGCAAATATTGACTCATTGCATAAACGTAATGTAATTGTCAATAAAAGCCTTTGACACTTATGAAATGCTTGTAATTATACTTCAGTATACCATAGTAACATCTGACAAAAATATCTAAAAACACTGAAGCAGCAAACTTGTGTCATTCTCAAAACTTTTGACCACGACTGTAGATTTGTTGAAGACTACCAAGAAACACTCTGTGTGACCCTGATTTAGCCCACTGCAGTAAAAGGTTAATAGTGTGTATGGGAGGAAGAAGGGTGATGATTAAGGGTTAACATTGTTAGAGGGTATGGGATACAGGGGGATATAGGGTTAACAGTGTGAGTGTGTTGGAGGGACAGGGGTGATATAAGGTTAACAGTGTGTAGTGTGTAATGGTGGAGACATGGGTGATATAGGGTTAACAGTGTTTCGAGTGTATGTAGGAAAAGGGGTGATATAGGGTTAACAGTTTGGAGGAGACAGGGTGATATAGGGTTAACAGTGTGTAGAGTGTATGGAGGAGACAGGGGTGATATAGGGTTAACAGTGTGTAGAGTGTATGGAGGAGACAGGGGTGATATAGGGTTAACAGTGTGTAGAGTGTATGGAGGAGACAGGGGGATATAGGGTTAACAGTGTGTAGAGTGTATGGAGGAGACAGAGGTGATATAGGGTTAACAGTGTGTAGAGTGTATGGAGGAGACTGGGGTGATATAGGGTTAACAGTGTGTAGAGTGTATGGAGGAGACAGGGGTGATATAGGGTTAACAGTGTGTAGAGTGTATGGAGGAGACAGGGGTGATATAGGGTTAACAGTGTGTAGTGTGTATGGAGGAGACAGGGGTGATATAGGGTTAACAGTGTGTAGAGTGTATGGAGGAGACAGGGGTGATATAGGGTAAACAGTGTGTAGAGTGTATGGAGGAGACAGGGGTGATATAGGGTTAACAGTGTGTAGAGTGTATGGAGGAGACAGGGGTGATATAGGGTTAACAGTGTGTAGAGTGCATGGAGGAGACAGGGGTGATATAGGGTTAACAGTGTGTAGAGTGTATGGAGGAGACAGGGGTGATATAGGGTTAACAGTGTGTAGAGCAGTGGCGGCTCCTGAAAAAATTCTCAGGGGGGGCAATTTTTCTGATGATTTAGGTGACCTACACACATTTAAAAAAAGATATGTCCAGCAACAACATGAAGACAGGGGCAGCATATAAGTCAATACCAGAAGCATTTATTGACTGATCTGGGGAGATGGATTCCAGTTTCTGTGACAGATTATAAATAATCTCTGATGCCTTTGTTATATTAGCTCTTGGTTGAATGTACACAACGGTAACAAACAATTGGGGGAACTCACGGGGCAGATAGTAAGGTCGCAGTGACACAGAAAGCAGTTCAATGTCGGGGGTACAGAGTCGCTCTCTTACCAGGATCGATTTTCCCTGTGACTGTCAGATCGCGGTCCGCTCTGACCAGGGTGAAGCCGGCCGGCTCCACTTCTCTGTCCGGGACTCTGTCATCCAGCCAAGTCTCAGTAAATGCCAGCAAACAGGCCTCCCGATATTCGTGTTGGAAGCGCAGATTCGCTGACAACTCATCCGCTTTCCCCCTCAGTGACTGGGCATTAATCAGCAAGGTGGTGGGTAAGGGAAGTTTGTTCTGCTGTATTGGATTCCGCTGCCAGCAGCGTTTTCATTATTTAGTCCGTTCGTAGCGGGTATGTACACGATCAACAAGATCAGTCCAAAACCCACCACTGGAAATCCATGGTTGGCAGAATGTTTGTAAACTAAGTGTACAAATTAAAAACATAAAATAACGCCACTAAGTGTACAAATTAAAAACATAAGATAACGCCACACTGCAGGTCGCAACAGAGACGCTGCTACCCGCTATTTTCTTAGTTACGTTCATGGTTACGTTACGTATGACGAAAGCGCGTAAGTGCAAGCCCTCAGAAACCCATAGAGATTGTATTGAAAGCTCTGAAATTTGAAAAAAATAGATTTTACATGGGAGTCTATGACAGACTTCTGGGCGATTTTCAACCTGACTGAAATCGCCCCAAAAGGGGGGGGGGGGGCATTTGAAGCACGACTTTAGCCTGATTGGACATTTAGTGGCAGTCAGATCAGATTAGAACACTGATAACTACTGTTGCCGTGATATAATTGATTAGAAAAAAAATCCCTTCCTTTTCCCGTTTGGCAGTGCGTCGCCCATATCGCCCTATTGAACACACCGCCCCTGGTGTAGAGTGTATGGAGGAGACAGGGTGATATAGGGTTAACAGTGTGTAGAGTGTATGGAGGAGACAGGGTGATATAGGGTTAACAGTGTGTAGAGTGTATGGAGGAGACAGAGGTGATATAGGGTTAACAGTGTGTAGAGTGTATGGAGGAGACAGAGGTGATATAGGGTTAACAGTGTGCATGTGTGTGTTAATAGAGTGTGTGCGTACGTCCCTGCAGGTGTGCCTACATTATAAGTATGTGTATCTCTCTAGCTTTCCCACTCACTGCTGTACCTGCCTGACTGAAGGCATAATACTGTATGTGTAACCATCTAACCCCACTCACTACCGTCTAACCCCACTCACTACCGTCTAACCCCACTCACTGCTGTACCTATCTGACTGAAGGCATAATACTGTATGTGTAACCATCTAACCCCACTCACTTTGGCCTTCTTCTTGTGCAGGCCCTTGGGCATAAGGTGCTGTTGTAGATGGGAGCAGAAGAGGCGTGGAGAGGACCTCTCGCTGTAGGTCTTCCCCTTCTCCAGGAACTCCAGCCAGGGCATCCTCACATAGGTGATCTGGTTAGCCTCCTCTGGAAAATCATCGTCAAACATCAGGGTGATGATACGCTGGGTCCATACTGTACCTGGGGGAGGGGAGGGAGAGGAGGGGAGGGCAGGGGAAGGAGGGAGGGAGGCAGAGAGAGATCTAGTTAGCCTCCTCTGGAAAATCATCGTCAAACATCAGGGTGATGATACGCTGGGTCCATACTGTACCTGGGAGAGGAGGGGAGGGAGAGGAGGGGAGGGCAGGGGAGGGAGGGAGGGAGGGAGGGAGAGAGAGAGCAAGAGAGAAGAGAAGGACACAGGTCATAAAGAGCACCTCACAGGTTCTGTCAATAAGGCTGCTGTCCACGCTACCAACCCTTTGTCCAATACTACACTGACATTACATACTGTAACCTGAGCACAGATAACACACCCTACCACATATAACTAGTAGATGGGCTATAGACTGTAGCTCTTGAGAGTAGCCAAGTACAGTATATTATAATTAAGAAAAAGGCCTGAGGGGGTGTGTTATATGGCCCCAATATACCACGGCTAAGGTCTGTTCTTAACCACGACGCAACGCGGAGTGCCTGGACACAGCCCTTAGCCGTGATACAGTGGGGGGAAAAAGTATTTAGTCAGCCACCAATTGTGCAAGTTCTCCCACTTAAAAAGATGAGAGAGGCCTGTCATTTTCATCATAGGTACACGTCAACTATGACAGACAAAATGAGAAAAAGAAATGCAGAAAATCACATTGTAGGATTTTTCATGAATTTATTTGCAAATTATGGTGGAAAATAAGTATTTGGTCAATAACAAAAGTTTCTCAATACTTTGTTATATATCCTTTGTTGGCAATGACACAGGTCAAACGTTTTCTGTAAGTCTTCACCAGGTTTTCACACACTGTTGCTGGTATTTTGGTCCATTCCTCCATGCAGATCTCCTCTAGAGCAGTGATGTTTTGGGGCTGTCGCTGGGCAACACGGACTTTCAACTCCCTCCAAAGATTTTCTATGGGGTTGAGATCTGGAGACTGGCTAGGCCACACCAGGACCTTGAAATGCTTCTTACGAAGCCACTCCTTCGTTGCCCGGGCGGTGTGTTTGGGATCATTGTCATGCTGAAAGACCCAGCCACGTTTCATCTTCAATGCCCTTGCTGATGGAAGGAGGTTTTCACTCAAACTCTCACGATACATGGCCCCATTCATTCTTTCCTTTACACGGATCAGTCGTCCTGGTCCCTTTGCAGAAAAACAGCCCCAAAGCATGATGTTTCCACCCCCATGCTTCACAGTAGGTATGGTGTTCTTTGGATGCAACTCAGCATTCTTTGTCCTCCAAACACGACGAGTTTAGTTTTTACCAAAAAGTTCTATTTTGGTTTCATCTGACCATATGACATTCTCCCAATCCTCTTCTGGATCATCCAAATGCACTCTAGCAAACTTCAGACGGGCCTGGACATGTACTGGCTTAAGCAGGGGGACACGTCTGGCACTGCAGGATTTGAGTCCCTGGCGGCGTAGTGTGTTACTGATGGTAGGCTTTGTTACTTTGGTTGCAGCTCTCTGCAGGTCATTTACTAGGTCCCCCCGTGTGGTTTTGGGATTTTTGCTCACCGTTCTTGTGATCATTTTGACCCCACGGGGTGAGATCTTGCGTGGAGCCCCAGATCGAGGGAGATTATCAGTGGTCTTGTATGTCTTCCATTTCCTAATAATTGCTCCCACAGTTGATTTCTTCAAACCAAGCTGCTTACCTATTGCAGATTCAGTCTTCCCAGCCTGGTGCAGGTCTACCATTTTGTTTCTGGTGTCCTTTGACAGCTCTTTGGTCTTGGCCATAGTGGAGTTTGGAGTGTGACTGTTTGAGGTTGTGGACAGGTGTCTTTTATACTGATAACAACTTCAAACAGGTGCCATTAATACAGGTAACGAGTGGAGGACAGAGGAGCCTCTTAAAGAAGAAGTTACAGGTCTGTGAGAGCCGGAAATCTTGCTTGTTTGTAGGTGACCAAATACTTATTTTCCACCATAATTTGCAAACAAATTCATTACAAATCCTACAATGTGATTTTCTGGATTTCTTTTTCTCATTTTGTCTGTCATAGTTGACGTGTACCTATGATGAAAATTACAGGCCTCTCTCATCTTTTTAAGTGGGAGAACTTGCGCAATTGGTGGCTGACTAAATACTTTTTTCCCCCACTGTATATTGGCCACATATCACAACCCCCTGAGGTGCCCTATTGCTATTATAAACTGGTTACCAATGTAATTATAACAGTAAAAATACATGTTTTGTCATACCCGTGGTATACGGTCTGATATACCACAGCTGTCAGCCAATCAACAATCACCCAGTTTATAATCAGACTTATATCAGGTTATAAGACCAATAACCAGATAGGTACATGGCTACTCTCAAGAAGAGCTATGTGGCCTAAGAGCAACAACTGTACATTATAATCAAAACAGGTTATAGCACAGATAAATATAGGCCATATATCTCTTGAGAGTAGCCACAGTTCAGACAGGAAACACCACGTATTCGTTTCCATTTATTCGAAAGATTACAGGACCTGCAGTAAGTTGTCTTGGCGTTAGGCTCTCCTCCTTCGGGGTAGCTCACCGCCAGAGCGTGCATCATGTTAAGATTATGCTAATTACAGGCAGTGAGCAAGGTACACTGTACCAATCCCCCTGCAGGAAGGAAACCCAGAACCTAACAGGTGGAGGCTGGGGTGATGGGCGGTGCTAGAAAATGTTATCCAGCACGCAACAGCAGTAGAGGCAGCAGAGAATGAGTGATCATCTATATAGACTGCCATATTAAGGTAGGAAGTGTTGGTAGAATATGATTGGTGCGACGTCAGCTGATGCATTGCTGAAGCCAATACAAGGGTTCTCTGTATGAACTAGCGCTGCGCTTGATTACACAGTGTTCCTGCTATTCCCTGTGGCTCAGAGCTAGCCTCTTGTTCCTTACTCAAACCTCAGATACCATGCTGGAGGAACACATGAGCTTCTGTACTTACTAAAATAGCAAAATAGAAAACAAAAACAGATGTGTGTGTGTGTGTCTCACAGGTTATGTGTTTGTGTGTATGAGTGCATGCCTGTGTCTGCGTTTCCATGTCTGTGTCCATATGTGTTGTTGTAACCATAATAATATTGACAGTCCAAAGGAAAGATGGCTGTTTGCAGCGTTTTGGCCTCTAGCCAAGACTAACTATTGCACAATCCTTCAGAGTGAGAGAGCAGACTTACTGGTCTACAGACACTGGGCAATATAGAGCTGAGAGAGAGATATAGATAGATAGAGAGAGAGAGACAGAGAGAGAGAGAGAGAGAGGGAGAGGAAAAAAGAGTAGAGGTGAGCTAGCGAGAGCAGAGCTTATCTCTCGGCTCTCTCTACTCTCTCTCTCTCTCTCTTCGCTCTCTCTCTCTATCTCCTCTCTCTCTCTCTCTCTCTCTCGCTCTGCTCTTCGCTCTCTCTCTCTCTCTCTCCTCCTCTCTCTCTCTCTCCTCTCTCTCTCTCTCTCTCTTCTCTCTCTCTCTCTCCTGCTCTTCTCTCTCTCTCTCCTCTCTCTCTTTCTCGTCTTCGCGTTGTTCTTTCTCTTTTTTCTTTTCTCTCTCTCTCTCTCCTCTCCTCTCTCTCTCTCTCTCTCCTCTCTTCTCTCTCTCTCTCTCTCTTCGGCCTCCTCTCTCTCTCTCTCTTTCTCTCTCTCTCCTCTCTCTTCTCTCTCCCTCTCTCTCTTCTCTCTCGTCTCTCTCTCTTCTCTTCTCCTCTCTTCCTCTCTCTCCTCTCTCTCTCTCTCTCCCTCTCTCTCTCTCTCTCCTTTTCCCCTCTCCCCTTCCTCCCTCTCCCTTCTCTCTCCTCCTCCTTTTTTTTTTTTTTCCCCCCTTTTTTTTTTCCTCTCCTCTCTTCCTCTCCCTCTCCTCCCCCGTTCCTCTCTCCCCTCTCTTTTCTTTTCTCCTCTCCTCTCCTCTCCCTCTCTTCCGTTTTTTTGCTTTTTTTTTTTTTTTTTTTTCCCCCTTTTTCTTTTGTTTTTTCGTTCTTTTTTTTCTTTTTTTTTTTTTTTTTTTTTCTTTTTCCCCCCTCTCGCCTCTCTCCTCTCTCTCTCTCCTCTCGCTCCTTCTCCCTTTTAAAAAAGGGGGTTGGGGTTCTGTAATGCCCCTTTTCGTCCCTTTTTGTTGTCCCCGCAAAGGCCTTTAGCCAATAGCTTCAGATGAAAACCAACCACAAAATTTGCATATCTTGTTATTTTTTTGGCATGTATTAAGGATCCCCATTAGCAGCTAGTCTTCCTGGGTCCAAACAAGATTAAGGCAATTACATCCCTTTTTTTTTTTTTTTTTTACTACGTCATACAACAAACATATTATTAGGTCACTACTCTACCACTACTTATCTACAATGCAACATTTATAATACCACAATATTACAACATTACAATGTACGTGTGTGTAGAGTGTGTGTTAGCATGTGCAAATGCGTGTGTGTGCCTGTGTGTGTCTCTTCACAGTCGAAGTTGTTCCATAAGGTGTAGTTTAATCTGTTTTTTAAATCTGATTTTACTGCTTGACTGAGTTACATAATGTGGAATACAGTTCCACATAGTCATGGCTCTATGTAGTACTGTGCCTTTCCCAGAGTCTGTTCTGGACTTGGAGACTGTGAAGAGACCCCTGGTGGCATGTCTTATGGGGAATGCCTGACTCTACCTGGATCATGTTGGAGAGGCTTCCATTAAAGAGCACCCTCTGTGTTCTGTTAGACAGGTAACTGTCGATCCACGATATAGCAGGGGATGTAAAGTCATAACACGTTTTTCCAGCAGCCGACTATGATTGATAATGTCAAAAACTGCACTGAAGTCTAACAAAACAGCTCCCACAATCTTCTTATTGTCAATTTATTTCAGCCAATCATCATTTGGCTGCATCGCAGTGCTAACTGTGCCACTAGAGATCCTGGTTCGAATCCAGGCTCTGTCGCCGCCGGCCGCGACCGGGAGACTCATGGGCGGCGCACAATTGGCCCAGCGTCGTCCAGGGTAGGGGAGGGAATGGCCGGCAGGGATGTAGCTCAGTTGATAGAGCATGGCGTTTGCAACGCCAGGGTTGTGGGTTCGTTTCCCACGGGGGGCCAGTATAAAAAAAATATGTATTCACTAACTGTAAATCGCTCTGGATAAGAGCGTCTGCTAAATGACTAAAATGTAAATGTAAATGTAAGTGCCGTACATCTTCCCTATAAGAATGCTGAAAGTCAGCTGTTAATTTGTTTAATGTGAATGTTGTCTTATTCATGCTTTAATTATAACCCACTCAATTTGTAATAGATGTGCAAGCACCAGTCATGTTTATTAGACCTCTGTAGTTACTTTCAGTGTAAAAGTAATACTTTTCAATAATCTTCTTACCTGATTTGGGGAAAGTGACAAGGAAAACATCACTGTCCCTGATCTCAAAGTGTTCCAAGCTGTCGATATAGTCCGTGGTTAATTCTTGCGTGTCATCCACGGGAAACACCTGGCCTTTATACGTAAACAACTGGTCACCGAGAAGCTTATATTCTTGTTGAGCCATTTAAAAAAAACTGTAATATAAAACGGTAAATAATGGGAAAAACAGCTGGAACCAATTGTGGTCAATATGCATTGGTAGCCAGCCAGGCAGAAAGGAGAGTGAGAGGTAACCGAGGACGTTTTCTAAGAATGAGTGGGCTTTATGAGTGAAGTTCACGGGTTAATGAGAGTAGGCTTCTTCAGTTAACCTTTGTACAGTAGCATTGCCCTGTCGTAACTCTACAGTTTTATTCAAATCGAGTTTGTTTGCAAAGATAATACATTCACTGATCGTATCTCTCTTGTAAAACACTTTTTAAATTAAGCTTGTCTGGTCTGCCCTTTTATGTAAGGGGGTTGAATAAAAAAAGAAATAGCAATCTGTTTGCCCAAATAGGCTAGTCAATTTGTAATTGTTGCTGGGTGAGCAATAGACTACATTTATTACGTCATTGTGGCCATGACCTTTGAGCTTCCAGTGGACATAGCTCTCTCTCTCTCTCTCTCTCTCTCTCTCTCTCTCTCCTTCTCTCTCTCCCAAACACACATGCACACACAGATGCACACACTTTCTCTCTCTCGCGCTCTATTTTTCTAAAGTATTGTACTATACTGCCATCTTCTGTAAGATCTCAGAAAGACACCGAATTACAAACGAAAGAGTCAATTTCCATTAGGCAATTTAACTTGGATTATAATTAAATTCAGGTGAACCAAGTGCTGTCGATTCAGATCACTGTAAGAGAAGAGACTTGTTATCAACACCCAGCCACTTATTACTGTGTGTGTGTGTGTGTGTGTGTGTGTGTGTGTGTGTGTGTGTGTGTGTGTGTGTGTGTGTGTGTGTGTGTGTGTGTGTGTGTGTGTGTGTGTGTGTGTGTGTGACTGTGTGACTGTGTGAGTCTGTGTGTGTGTTACTGGCTAGATCACATGTCCATAGACAATCCCTTGATGTTCTTAATGATGATATATGACGGGTAGCAGTGAAGAGGATGAACAACAGATTTTCATAAAGAAGCCTTAATATAATTGATTAGCAGTCTGACCGTGGGTGAAGTCCTGTACTTAATCAACTGAATACTCCAGTGTCTAGAATAATGTGAACCTCTCTTTCCCCCAGCTGGCAAGCAGCAGCTACTTTGAACTGAAAATCCACTGGACTCTAACCCAGTTGTATAGTTCAACTGTTGAGGTATCCAGTAATATAGGTCACCTGTTCAGGTATCCAGTCATATAGGTCACCTGTTCAGGTATCCAGTCATATAGGTGACCTGTTCAGGTATCCAGTCATATAGGTCACCTGTTCAGGTATCCAGTCATATAGGTCACCTGTTCAGGTATCCAGTCATATTGGTCACCTGTTCAGGTATCCAGTCATATAGGTCACCTGTTCAGGTATCCAGTCATATAGGTTACCTGTTCAGGTATCCAGTCATATAGGTCACCTGTTCAGGTATCCAGTCATATAGGTCACCTGTTCAGGTATCCAGTCATATAGGTCACCTGTTCAGGTATCCAGTCATATAGGTCACCTGTTCAGGTATCCAGTCATATATGTTACCTGTTGAGATGTCCAGTCATATAGGTTACCTGTTCAGGTATCCAGTCATTTCGGTTACCTGTTCAGGTATCCAGTCATATAGGTCACCTGTTCAGGTATCCAGTCATATAGGTTACCTGTTGAGATGTCCAGTCATATAGGTCACCTGTTCAGGTATCCAGTCATATAGGTCACCTGTTCAGGTATCCAGTCATTTAGGTTACCTGTTCAGGTATCCAGTCATTTAGGTTACCTGTTCAGGTATCCAGTCATATAGGTTACCTGTTCAGGTATCCAGTCCTATAGGTCACCTGTTGAGATGTCCAGTCATATAGGTTACCTGTTCAGGTACCCAGTCATATAGGTTACCTGTTGAGGTATCCAGTCATATAGGTCACCTGTTCAGGTATCCAGTCATATATGTTACCTGTTGAGATGTCCAGTCATATAGGTTACCTGTTCAGGTATCCAGTCATATAGGTCACCTGTTGAGATGTCCAGTCATATAGGTCACCTGTTCAGGTATCCAGTCATATAGGTCACCTGTTCAGGTATCCAGTCCTATAGGTTACCTGTTGAGATGTCCAGTCATATAGGTTACCTGTTCAGGTATCCAGTCATATAGGTCACCTGTTCAGGTATCCAGTCATTTAGGTTACCTGTTCAGGTATCCAGTCATTTAGGTTACCTGTTCAGGTATCCAGTCATTTAGGTTACCTGTTGAGGTATCCAGTCATATAGGTCACCTGTTCAGGTATCCAGTCCTATAGGTCACCTGTTGAGATGTCCAGTCATATAGGTCACCTGTTGAGATGTCCAGTCATATAGGTTACCTGTTCAGGTACCCAGTCATATAGGTCACCTGTTCAGGTATCCAGTCATATAGGTCACCTGTTCAGGTATCCAGTCATATAGGTCACCTGTTCAGGTATCCAGTCATATAGGTCACCTGTTCAGGTATCCAGTCATATAGGTCACCTGTTCAGGTATCCAGTCATATAGGTCACCTGTTCAGGTATCCAGTCATATAGGTCACCTGTTCAGGTATCCAGTCATATAGGTCACCTGTTGAGATGTCCAGTCATATAGGTTACCTGTTGAGGTATCCAGTCATATAGGTCACCTGTTCAGGTATCCAGTCATATAGGTTACCTGTTGAGGTATCCAGTCATATAGGTCACCTGTTCAGGTATCCAGTCATATAGGTCACCTGTTCAGGTATCCAGTCATATAGGTTACCCGTTCAGGTATCCAGTCATATAGGTTACCTGTTGAGGTATCCAGTCATATAGGTCACCTGTTCAGGTATCCAGTCATATAGGTTACCCGTTCAGGTATCCAGTCATATAGGTTACCTGTTGAGATGTCCAGTCATATAGGTCACCTGTTGAGATGTCCAGTCATATAGGTCACCTGTTGAGATGTCCAGTCATATAGGTTACCTGTTCAGGTATCCAGTCATATAGGTCACCTGTTCAGGTATCCAGTCATATAGCTCACATGTTCAGGCGTGTGGTCTTACCTTAATACCTTAATAAAGTGTGTGGGCGTGCGTGCATGCTTGCGTTTGTCCATTCAGGTGGAGGGTGGGCGGTGAAGAGGTGGATTGTCAGGTACTAACCCTCCCACAGACACACACATACCCCTGTCCCACCCCATCAATTAGCTCTCTCTTTCCCACACAAGGTCACTCTATCTACCCTCCTTCTGGAGGTAAGTACCGCCCTGCTGAGTGGTTCCTTCCATGCTACAGGGGATTAGCACTCGACTTCAGCCCAGCCTCAGTGCTCCGTATTCAGGGTCAGATGACCATGTCTCCCCTGAGTGATGGAGGAATTTGTTGGCGCTACTAGCCCCGAAAGTGCACTGCACTAGAACAAGAAATTAAGATTTTCGTTTTTCAAATGATTGTGTAAAAGTCACATCAGTTAATTTGTGAAGATCTTTGAATCGCCTGGCTTGACCTAAATTTCTATATAGGATGGGAGCCCATCCATAGCTTACTGTTCGCCATTTACATATTACTGTAATTCGGCTTTATGGGAATCAGACTATTTGTAGTGTATGGAATGTGAATGTGACTCTGTAGCCTACAGTGCTGTAAGTGCATTGTCTAATTAATATAAATTAAGCCTTTGTCACATTTTAAAGTGCATAAATAGTTATTTATTCATGTATATGGTAAAGGAATTGTAGGATAAATATTTTTCATGTATCTCCAATAAAAAGCCACACTTGAACACAGTCCAATCCCCTGTCTGGGGCTGCATCCCAAATGGCACCCTATTCTCTATTTAGTGCCCTACTTTTTTTACCTGGGGGCCTATAGGGAATAGGGTGCCATTTGGGACGCACCCTTGGTCCTCTGTATAGATTGGGGTCGAGATACAAAGCCCTGCTAAAAGGATCCCTTGACTCTCTGGATCTTTGTTCAAAGTGGGGAGCAATGTACTTGCCGTTTTAAAAGGGCCTTTTCAGCTAGGCCGTAAACCGATCCTGGGCCTTGCCTAGCCGGGGTGTGCCCAGGACGTCTAGGGTTTACCTGGGGGACCGAGCAGGGGGACGTGGAAGTGGGTGGAGGGGAGGGAGGAGAAAGAAAGAAAGAGCGAGAGCGGGGGGATGTGGAGATGGAGGGAGGGAGGTGGAGAGGTGGAGGAGAAAAAGAGAGAGAGAGAAAGGAAGGCAGCTGGTCAGTAGGAGTGATGCGAGGGATGGAGGGATGGATGGTAAGTAGAGAAGGCTGAGAAAGGACAAACAAACAAAGGTGCGGATGAGGGTTACGTGTTTCTCCCCTCTCGTTGATCCTCTGGTGAATTAATTGTATCAACCTCTTTCTCTTTCTTTTATCGACCTCTCTTTCTCTCTTTTATATATAGGATAGCCTATATACTGTATGCAAAGACAAGAACGAGACTACAGTAATGTGATGCTTACTGGGATACAGACAGTGTTGTGTGAATACTCTACAAGCAAAAATATTGCATGCAAGACTGTCAAACTCTGAATATTAGCCTAATGCAGAATCCGATTTAGAGCCAAACAAAGGTCCAGAGTTTTGCCTGGGGCAGGTCACAACTCCTCACCCTATGAACTGTTCTGAGAACCCCCGCTTCTCTCCCACTGCAATTAGGACGGGTTTGATGTGTGACAGGCCTATGCTTTTCCAATTGACTGTGGCCTATGCAGTGATTAGGCCCTACTGCACGCCGTAATTTAGGCTCTAATTGGCAATGCTTGGTGAACATGATATGGGCAATGGGCATGCATGATGATTGATAATTCATCAAATCCATCTCCAGTGTGATGACATTCATTAACCTATACTAGCCTATGTGCCTCTCTCTCTCTCGACATACATTAACCCCTCTAGCCTCTGCCAACTCCTTATCAGCCTCGACTATTCATTTATTCATACTTCAGCACAAGCCTCCGCACGCTATGCAGTTGCCTTGCTGCTTACTTCCCCGCATCTACAGATGAAGGCTCCGTCACAAATACAATCCTTTCCCCTACTTAGTGCACTACATTTGCCCAGAGCCCTATGGCCCTGGCCAAAAATAGCGCACTAGGGAATAGGGTGCCATTTGGGACGCAGCGGGAGAATTATTTGGGCATTGCCAATAACAGTTAAGCTCCTAGTCATGTCAGAAATGGACCGAACCTGTTGAGGATTAACTGGTAAACAGTCAGGGCTTTTGTGCCACATGCGAGAACTCATCTCTGGAGCGAGATTCTCTCCCTGGAGAGAAAGAGAGAGAGATAGAAAGAGAGAGAGAGAGAGAGAGAGAGAGGAAGATTAGATGAGTCTTTACAATGAATGTTCTCATTCAAAAAATAGCACATTCTATAGCTTGTCTGACCGGTAGTGTGCTATCGGTTTCAAAAGCTGTCGGAAATGGTATTTTCTATTTTAGAATGTAGTTTTGGGGGGGATTCTTTAAAATGGTGTGTCATAGCCTATGGATGGAGCCTCTGGTAGATGTGCACTGACTAGTGGAAGTGTCACTAAAACGTTATTATTCATCAAACGTTATGTTACTTTATCTTACGAATACAATGTTAAAATTGGTAAATGGATTAAAACAATAAAAACTTTACTAAATCCCAACGGGCTTTAAATTGTTATCTTTACTGTTAATTTGTCATTCAAATTACGCACGGTGCCTTTACGGAAGGGAAGTGGCGGAGTGATTGCAGTGGTGAGTGAGCGAATACACATATCTCCTCCCTTCCGCTCGCGCTGAAACTCGAGAGAGAGAAGTGACAGGTAGGAGGACGGTTGTGTAGCTACCAGACCAGACACACTCAGATGGACATGACTATCATAAATGTCAAACTCATGAAAGAATATGGTTCATAGGAAAGTCGGCAGTTGGTGAGAGAGACATTTATAAAAGTTTTGATGGGAAGTTGCCAGAGAAATGCAGATCAGTTTGAGAATACACTTTACAACTTCGATGTGGATAATTGAAGATTAAATATCACAATGAGTGGACACCAAACTTTTTAAAACTTTAAATTGTCATAACAAAAAGGAATATATAGCCCATATAAAATACGTGGGGTAGTGTCAAAATGATATGTCAACGGAAGGCGCTTGTCATTGGAGAATGATCACTAAATTAGATCAGAATACATTACAGAAGGAAGTTGACGATGTGTTCAACGGATCGAGACGAAATGCTCCCTTGGTTACAGACACTTTTTATCTTCTTCAAATGAAATAGCCCAAATTCTCAGTTTATCATGCATAGAAGGAGGATGCTTCGGGCACTCCCCGTTGTCATATTAACTTTTTTCATCATTTTATTCGTGGACTTTCAACTAAGGACGCGGAATCTCCACAAACTCAATACTATCCATAATGCGTCCGGTGGACACTTCCATCGCTCGATTCAAGAGGAGGCGAAGGAGCCACTAAAGCCGGCCAAGTTTCCTCGACAACCCGCTGCTGTCTCTACCATGAACCAAACTGTTGGTGGCTTACAAGCAGAGATACAGAGAAGGGGAGACAAGTTGAGGGCTTTGGAACGGAGAAGGGTTGTCGTCACTCCATCCCTGTTGAAGTTAACGGACATCTTCCTCGCGGTGAAGAGCACCAGGAGGTTCCACAGCACGCGCCTTTCTCTCCTTCTCGAGACGTGGATCTCCAAGACCAAGGCACACGTGAGTGTAATGAGTGTCATCCTGATTTATGATCGTGATTGATTGATCCAGCATGCATTCATCAAATTGATGTGGATTTCAAAACATGTGTTCATAAAAAAAAAAAGCTACCTAATGATATAGGTACTTTGACGGGGGACCATTCAATTATCAAGTAACATTGAACTTTTTGGGGATAAAGTAGCCCACAAAAGTCAAAAATACTCATATCACTGTCTTGTTGCTTTACTGTAGGCCTAGTTCAGATTCATTTCATTGCAATAACCTAGATATCTTATCATTTATAATTGACATGGGATAACCAATAGCCTCAACAGTCCCCCTATTCCCAGATATTACATGGTAGGTGCACAGTGGTAACATGGGAATAGGTCGACAGTTATTACATGGTAGGTAACCTAACCTACACAGTTATTACATGGTAGGTAACCTAACCTACTCAGTTATTACATGGTAGGTAACCTAACCTACACAGTTATTACATGGTAGGTAACCTAACCTACACAGTTATTACATGGTAGGTAACCTAACCTACACAGTTATTACATGGTAGGTAACCTAACCTACACAGTTATTACATGGTAGGTAACCTAACCTACACAGTTATTACATGGTAGGTAACCTAACCTACACAGTTATTACATGGTAGGTAACCTAACCTACACAGTTATTACATGGTAGGTAACCTAACCTACACAGTTATACATGGTAGGTACCTAACCTACACAGTTATTACATGGTAGGTAACCTAACCTACACAGTTATTACATGGTAGGTAACCTAACCTACACAGTTATTACATGGTAGGAAACCTAACCTACACAGTTATTACATGGTAGGTAACCTAACCTACACAGTTATTACATGGTAGGTAACCTAACCTACACAGTTATTACATGGTAGGTAACCTAACCTACACAGTTATTGTTCAGCTCTTAGGGCTAGAGGGCCTGTTGATTGAGAAACACCGAATTTAGTCACTATGGCCCAACTCAGCTGGCCCTCTTCCTGTTTTGACCCGTCATGTTCTTTACAGAACAAAGCAGCACTTCCTACTTCTCTACTTTCTACGCTGAGTCAAGGTGACTAGGGCTTTGAGTATCAGACTATATCAGAGTTTTAGTGAAGCAAATGTGAAGCAGACCCTATCTTCCTATGTCCTATCTTTAAGTGGCTTGTCAAAGCGAATTCCTAACATGCATCTAACAACTTAACACTTCTAGAATAAGTATTTGAGATGACTGTTGGAAGCTGTGGTTGTGTGAAATGACTGATAAGCAAATATAAATTGAGTATTTTGTATTGTAAAAGTTATAGAACACATACTTCATTGGCAGTTGGCACTTGAAGTATAATTTCCTCAAAATATGAGGCACATTTTATACGTGCCTATTCTCTGAAGAAGTACGCAAATGTCATGATTCCTTCAGGTCATATAAAAGTATTTTGACTTTCTCTTCAGCTAGTGATTCAGATGGACAGACAGGGTGACGAATGGTTTGGTCCACAGCAGATACTAAGTTTAGTCTTAGTTTTTAGAGAAGTGAAATCATCAGCTCTTTCTCTCTCCCCGTCTCTCTCTCTCTCTCTCTCTCTCTCTCTCTCTCCCTCTCCCCCGTCTCTCTCTTCAGCTGAGAGTCAGAACGGAAGCTCTGTAGAACCTCAGTGGAAATGTTTTTCCTCCAACAGTGGTGTCATGGCTACTATCTACAGATTATGTGTATATAGTCTAATGTTGCTTATTTTCATTTCTCACAAGTGGAACATTAACGCAAAGATTCTGGCTGTTTGTTTTTCTCGACCCTAACATACATGCACACACACACACGCGCACACACACACACAGTTCTATGTTCTCGTCATAGACTTCCTGTTCTCAGATCAGTTTCCGTTTCAGCATTGTTGCTCTGCGGCAGTGGCGTCCCCCTGGCACAGACAGCAAACACACACCATCCTGTAGTAGTGTTGTGTGTGTGTGTGTGTGTGTGTGTGTGTGTGTGTTTGAGTCAAAACAACACAACACAAAACATAAACCATGCTCTCCTGTCCATACTCCATTAGAAGAGACAGATGATTCAAAGTCACAGTAGTACACTGATAGAGGACCCACCTGCATTAAAAGCAATAGGAGAGAAATATATTTCAGCTATGTTTTACGGCATGAGTAAAAGAGACAGATTTATCCTCTCAGCTCTCTCTCTATCTCTCTCTCCCTCTCTCTCTCTCTCTCTCTCTCTCTCTCTCCCAGTCAACCCCGTCTCCACCACTCTCTAATCCACTCTCATCATCTCGCCTCTTCCCACAATGATCTCTCTCTCTCTGTCATCTTCTCGAAGTGCTCTATCTTCTCTCTCTCGCTTCTCTCTGTCTCTCTCTCATCTCATCGTCTCTCTCTCTTCTCTATCACTATCCCTCTCTCCTCCCCCAGTCCAACCCAGTCCAACTCCCCCCGCCCCCATAGTAGTTTCATGAGCCACTGCCAGCCCCCACTCAGCCATCTTGGCTCTTCAGCCTCTTTAGCCCAGGCAGAATGATGGGGCCTAGGGGACATTATGGAGCCGTGGTGCTAGTGCGGTTGCATGAATTATGACTGTCAGGGAGGAAACTAATGACACAGGGCCTCAGGTTCCAGAGCCAAGCAGTGCCTCTTTTGGTTTCATCAGCAGGGAATCGATCTGTGAATTACTCCTCCTTTGAACGAGTGATGGGATGGAGGGATGCGGAGGAGGAGGAGAAAGAAAAAGGGCCACAGGGGGAGGAGAGGAAGAGGAGGGCTATAAAATGGCTGAAGGGAAGATTTAGAGGTAGCTATACTTGATATGAGAGGTAGCGGGAGGCTGTACTGTTGTTTCAGTGGAGATAGATGGAGTGCAGATCGCATGGGTGTGTGTGTGTGTGTGTGTGTGTGTGTGTGTTGTCATGGGAAGACAGTGCTCTATGATAGATACAAGCGCTTCATCTAGTGCACTAAAGCTATTAAGGCGATCACTTAGGTTAATGCAAAGCCGGGGGCAAACACACACACAATGAGAGATAAGGAGAAAACGAGAGAGCGAGATAGAGAGAGAGAGAGAGAGAGACAGAGAGAGAGAGAGAGAGAGAGAAAGAGAGAGTGAGACACAGAGAGAGAGAGAGAGAGAAGCAGACAGAGATAGATAGAGAGATAGTCAGACGAGAGAATAGAGAGAGAGATAAATTAGAGAGAGAATAGAGAGAGAGAGAGAGAGAGAGATAGACAGAGAGAGAGATAGAGAGAGAGACAGGTAGGAGAGGAGTTACACTATTATATTACACAGTGGTACCGTGGTGAATTACACCCTGTAAAACACTGTTTATCCACCCAGAGGCTGCTCTAGGCTACGTCCCAAATGGCATCCTATTCCCTACATAGTGCACTATATTCAGAATAGGGTGCCATTTGGGAGGGGCCTCCTCCTCAGGAGGAGTTTTATAGCTAGACTGTAATGGTTTGATAATGCTTAGGAGAGGGTTGAAACAGACACACACATGCACATCCTCACCCTTGCTATCTCTTCTCTCTCAGATGAAAGAGTACCAGACACTCTGAGTGAACAACACTTCCTTTTTTCCTCGCACCCATCTCCACCCTCTCCCTCTCCTATCTTTCCTCTATCCCCCTTTCACTCCCTGTACTCCACCCCCATCACTTCCTATGGAAGATTGGATCAGCAGTCAGTCACTGTCCATATCAGTGTGTGTGTGAGAGAGAGAGAGGCTGTGTGTGTTTTTCCATTAGCAGTCATACACTGTGGATAATATTAGAGTGGGAGCCCACTGGTAGGGCTCTTCTACACTACCTGACCAAAAGTATATGGACACCTGCTCATTAAAAATCTCATTCCAAAATCATGGGCATTAATATGGAGTTGGTCCCCCCTTTTTCTGCTAAAACAGCCTCCACTCTTCTGGAAAGGCTTTCCACTAGATGTTGGAACATTGCTGCAGGGACTTGCTTCCATTCAGCCACAAGAGCATTAGTGAGGTCGGGCACTGATGTTGGGCGATTAGGCCTGGCTCGCAGTCGGCGTTCCAATTCATCCCAAAGGTGTTCGATGGAATTGAGGTCAGGGCTCTGAGCAGGCCAGTCAAGTACATCCACACCGATCTCGACTAACCATTTCTGTATGGCAGGGTTCTTCAATTCCGGTCCTGGAGGGCCGAAACACCTCTGTTTTTCATCCTCTCCTTCTAATCAGGGGGTAATTCAGACCTGGGACACCAGGTGAGTGCAATTAACTACCAGGTAGAAATAAAAAACAGAAGTGTTTCGGCCCTCCAGGACCGGAATTGAAGAACCCTGCTGTATGGACTTCATTTTGTGCACGGGGGCATTGCCATGCAGAAACAGGAAAGGGCCTTCCCCAAACTGTTGCCACAAATTTGGAAGCACAGAATCGTCTAGAATGTCATTGTATGAAGTAGCGTTAAGATTTCCCTTCGGCTTAGCCCGAACCATGAAAAACAGCCCCAGACCATTATTCCTCCTCCACCAAACTTTACTGTTGGCACTATGCATTGGGGCAGGTAGCGTTCTCCTGGCATCCGCTAAACCCAGATTCGTCCGTCGGACTGCCAGATCTGAAATTTGACGAACTGACTTGTTGAAAAGGTGGCATCCTATGACGGTGCCACGTTGAAAGTCACTGAGCTCTTCAGTAAGGCCATTCTACTGCACAATGGCGGTGTGCTCGATTTTATACACCTGTCATCAACGGGTGTGGCTGAAATAGCTGAATCCACTAATTTGAAGGGGTGTCCACATACTTTTGTATATTTACTGTATCTGTAGTTTCAGTTGTTGCTGTTGTTTACTACGACCAACAGAGGTCAGTAGTGGACCAGCTACACAGTGCTGTTCCACTGTAGACCTTCAGGGAAATAGATAGCATGCCATTTAGAAAACTGCTGAGAGAGAGAGAGAGAGAAATTGTACTAGCTTTCTGAGTCTAATAATAATAATAATATGCCATTTAGCAGACGCTTTTATCCAAAGCGACTTACAGTCATGCGTGCATACATTCTTGTGTATGGGTGGTCCCGGGGATCGAACCCACTACCTTGGCGTTACAAGCACCGTGCTCTACCAGCTGAGCTACAGAGGACCACAGAGTCTACAGAGGAAGTGTTGGGAAGCAGAGGTCAAGGCTATGTCATCTCCTAATGGGAGGGTAGTGTTGCTGTTTCACACTGTCTTCAATGTAATGGCAGCTACGGTCAAAGGTTCAAGTGGATGTGTGACTGTGTGTGACTGTGTGTGTGTGTGTGCTGTGTGTGTGTGTGTGTATGTGTGTGTGTGTTTGTGTGTGTGTGTGTATGTCTTCCCTTTAGCTAATGGTGCAGCCTGTTTCTGTCAGTATTAATCTGTCCTCCATTATCTGGCTTAGTGTGTGGGGGGGTGTGTTTCTGTCTGTGTGTGTGTGTGTGGGGGGGGGGGGGTGTCTGTGTGTGTGTGTGTGGTGTGGGGGGGTGTCTGTGTGTGTGTGTGTGTGTGGGGGGGGGGTGTCTGTGTGTGTGTGTGTGTGTGTGTGTGTGGGGGGGGGGGGGGGGGTGTCTGTGTGTGTGTGTGTGTGTTATATCTCTCTCTCTCTTCTGTTCCTTCTCTAGACGTTCATCTTTACAGACACAGAGGATGAAGACGTCAACTCCAGAGGTAGGTCTTCAACTCCACCAATCACAAGCAAGGAGAGACTTGTTGTATTAACAGTTGTAATGTTTAAGAGAGATAGTTGTTTATTAGACAACAGTTACAGTTTCTATCTAATTTAAGTCTCATGTCAGAGTGTTGTAAAATAAACACATCGAAAGGTGCTTTGACTGAAATTCTTTTTTATATTCAGGTTACAATTTGATCGTGACAGATTGTCCGCCGGACCACAGTCACCAGGCTCTGTCCTGTAAGATGTCTGCTGAATACGACCACTTCATGGCCTCCGACAAGAAGTGAGTAACACATAGACTATCACTTTACAGGGCATTGAGATCACGTTAAAAAATAGAGAGTTCTATCAACATTTTGTACCTGTAGGATTTGTGTTCAAACCTGACTGAAGAAAGGGCAGAGACAAGGTTCCAGTGTTAAGTTTAGAATCAAGCCTTGGTTGTAATTAGAACAGAGGAAAGGGCTCAACTGTTCACTTCAGTTGAGAACCGATCCATGTGCTGTCCCCTCTCTCTCCAGGTGGCTGTGTCACGTTGACGATGATAACTATGTGAATCCTGGAGCTCTTCTCTCCCTACTCTCAGCCTTCCCCCAGGATGGTGATGTCTACGTAGGCAAGCCCAGCCTCGACCATCCCATCAAGGCCCATGAACTGCTGGAGGGCAACAAGACGGTATGCTCCCACCATGCACTGCATAGAGCTGAAAGCTATATTCCAATGCACAATACAATGCTTCATTCTAGCCTTATGTTAAAGACATGTTTGGGAACTTTGGGTCCTACTAAGTATTCTTTAAACCTCCCGCTTTGGGCTGGATTTGTCAATGTGTAGTTCATACATGCATCATCTATGAGGAGAATTGCTGTCTTACCTCAATTAGCCACGAAATCTCTAGTTTGAAACATTTAGCCAATGAGCTTCAGCCCCTCGCCATTTGAGTGACAGCTAGCAAGATGCACACACAGTAGAGCGAGAGAGAGAGAGACCAATGACGTGGTGCACATATCTGCACATATGTGCCGTAGTACGCAATTTTCGGGTACCACTTTTGGCTCGTGAGCACTACTTTCAGAACTACTGGCTAAAAAGTATACAAAAGTACCGGAGAATCTCTTTAAGTAGTATGTTACTGTGGTCATTAGAATATGTCTTTCTGTCTCCCTTCACTGATATGTTTGATCGTTTGATGCCAAGATGGTTCCCATGGGAATTCTAAACCTCAAACAGAGTTGGCCAAGCACTGTAAATTATTCAAGTCATTCCACATCTCTCCTCTTTCAATTCACTTCTCATCAGGAATGGAGGGATGGAAGGATGAAGGGATGATTGTAGATCCATCTATTTATATGTTTTTAGTCACCGTGGAGTGTTTTTCTAACCGGAGGGTTGAGTGGTGATTGGCATGTTATTGGTTATTGATCTAAGAACCATGTCATCAAGTGGACGTGTCAAAGACACCCCAGGGGATAGGCTGTCAACCAGCAGGATCGGTCACTAGATAAGCATGTGTCTTGTGTATGTGTCATTTACAGTAGAAAAATGACTGTTTTGAGCCTAAGTGTATCTTGGTTCCGGAGAGTGCCTCGCAAAGCTCTCTCTCTCTCTCTCTCTCTCTCTCCTCATCCCTCTCCTCTCTCCTCTCTCTCCCTCCCATCTTCCTCTCTCATCTCTCGGTCTCTCTCTCTCTCTACTCTCTCTCTCTCTCTCTCCTTCCTCTTCCTCTTCCTCTTCCTCTTCCTCTTCCTCCTCCTCCTCCTCCCTGGTTAGAGAGTACATTTATCGTTGACAGTAGGACAGGCCTCAGACTCCCTAAAGAAAGGGAACACAAGGTGGGAGCACAGGAGGATGAGAGGAGAGGGGGACTCCAGAGAGGGAGGAGGAGAGGAGAGGAGGAGAGGGGGACTCCAGAGAGGGAGGAGGAGAGGACCTTGTGAGAATGATGATACATACACCTGTTGTGATTTACCCTGCTGTCACGGCAACCGATACACAACAAAAACAACAACAACAACTCTGCGACAACAGTTGTCTAGACATCCTGCCCATTATCTGATTTGCATGACAATTACCAAACAAATAACAGATATAATGTCAGTTTGACAAATGCTACACAAATATAAACATACATTATCCCCTTGACTAATGCTAAACACATACGAGATAAATAGCACACAAAATATGCAAGTCAGACTTTTATAAATGCTTAAAAGAGGCATATTCAAGACTCATAGCAAAGTGAGTCAGAGAGAACTGAGAAAGTCTATTGTTGTAAGTATATCACAGAATATGATGAGTTTGAGGGCAAACTGAGGACAGAAAATGTTGCATCATTGTTGTGGATGGAGGGAGTTTCCTCTACCTGTTCAAGCACATCAACCTTTAGATGATTAATTATGTCTGGGAGGTGGAAGTCCGACAGAGGTGGAAGTCTGTGCTCTGTTCATGTCTTGTATTGAACGTAACTGTTCCAAAGAGAAGTGCAGTTCTGGTTGGTGATTGGCTGTGTGTGTGTGTGTTTTTCTTTCTAGAAAGAAGTGCAGTTCTGGTTTGCCACAGGAGGCGCAGGGTTCTGTCTGAGTCGCAGACTAGCTGAGAAGATGGCTCCATGGGCTAGGTGAGGAGTGTGTGTGTGTGTGTGTGTCTGTGTATGAGTGTGTGTGTGTGTGTCTGTGTATGAGTGTGTGTGTGTGTGTCTGTGTATGTGTGTGTGTGTGTGTGTGTGTGTCTGTGTATGAGTGTGTGTGTGTGTGTGTGTGTGTGTGTGTGTGTGTGTGTGTCTGTGTGTGTTTGGGTCAAGAGGGAACTCTAGTCCATGAGAACACGTGTGTGTAGGTGTATGTCTGTGTGAAAGAGAGAGAGACAGTGAGTGTATATCTGTGAGTGTATCTGACAGTGTGTGTTTGGGTCATTGGACATACAGTCTGTGTATATGCTTGTCTTTATGTGACTGTACATGTAAGTGTGACTGTCCGGTCTGGGTTTGAGTCAATGTGGGTGTATCTATATCTGACTGTGTGTGTGTGTGTGTGTGTGTGTCTACCTGTCTGTCTAGTGGTCCCAGGTTTGAGCAGACGTCAGCAGTGATCCGTCTGCCAGATGACTGTACAGTAGGCTTCATCATAGAGAGGAGACTGGGGATATCCATGGTCCACAGTTCAATGTTCCACTCTCACCTGGAGAACCTGTTACTGCTGACGCCCAGCAATATACCTCTACAGGTCAGTTACACACACACCCACAATATACCTCTACGTCAGTTACACCACACCCACACCCAGCAATATACCTCACGGTTAGTTCAAGGCAGTATACTCCAGGACACACCACACCCGCAATATACCTCTACAGCAGATAACACAACACCCAGCAATATACCTCTACAGGTCAGTTTACACACACACCAGCAATTACCTCACGGTATACCACACCCCCGCACTATACCTCTACGGTAGATAACACACACACACCCAGCATATACCTCTACCCGTCAGTTAATAACACACCACCCAGCAATATACCTCTACAGTCAGTTACACACACACCCAAAACACCTCTACAGGTTAGATACACACACACCCAGCAATATACCTCTACAGGTCAGTTACACACACACCCAGCAATATACCTCTACAGGTCAGATACACACACACCCAGCAATATACCTCTACAGGTTAGATACACACACACACCCAGCAATATACCTCTACAGGTCAGTTACACACACACCCAGCAATATACCTCTACAGGTTAGATACACACACACCCAGCAATATACCTCTACAGGTCAGTTACACACACACCCAGCAATATACCTCTACAGGTCAGATACACACACACCCACATATACCTCTACAGGTCAGTTACACACACACCCACAATATACCTCTACAGGTCAGTTACACACACACCCAGCAATATACCTCTACAGGTCAGTTACACACACACCCAGCAATATACCTCTACAGGTTAGATACACACACACCCAGCAATATACCTCTACAGGTCAGATACACACACACCCAGCAATATACCTCTACAGGTCAGATACACACACACTCATGAATGCACAAATGCACACACACACTCATGCAAATAATTTCTGCCTCATGTAATGTGTTTTCTCTCTTAAGTTTTATTGTGTGTGTGTGTTCTCTCTAGGTGACTCTCAGTTATGGGTTGTTTGAGAACAAGATGAACAGTGTGGAGCTGAAGGGACTCTTCTCCAAGGAGGATGATCCCTCCAGGTCAGTACCAACCAGTGGGTCAGAAGTTTACATACACTAAGTTGACTGTGCCTTTAAACAGCTTTGAATATTCCAGAAAAAATGATGTCATGGCTTTAGAAGCTTCTGATAGGCTAATTGACATCATTTGAGTCAATTGGAGGTGTACCTGTGGATGTATTTCAAGGCCTACGTTCAAACTCAGTGCCTCTTTGCTTGACATCATGGGAAAATCAAAAGAAATCAGCCAAGACCTCAGAAAATACATTGTAGACCTCCACAAGTCTGGTTCATCCTTGGGAGCAATTTCCAAACGCCTGAAGGTAACACGTTCATCTGTACAAACAATAGTACGCAAGTATAAACACCATGGGACCACGCAGCCATCATACCGCTCAGAAAGGATACGCATTCTGTCTCCTAGAGATTAACGTACTTTGGTGCGAAAAGTGCAAATCAATCTCAGAACAACAGCAAAGGACCTTGTGAAGATGCTGGAGGAAAAAGGTACAAAATTATCTATATCCACAGTAAAACAAGTCCTATATCGACATAACCTGAAAGGGCGCTCAGCAAGGAAGAAGCCACTGCTCCAAAACCACCATATAAAAGCCAGACTACGGTTTGCAACTGCACATGGGGACAAAGATCGTACCTTTTGGAGAAATGTCCTCTGGTCTGATTAAACAAAAATAGAACTGTTTGGCCATAATGACCATCGTTATGTTTGGAGGAAAAAGGGGGACGCTTGCAAGCCAAAGAACACCATCCCAACCGTGAAGCACGGGGGTGGCAGCATCATGCTGTGGGGGTGCTTTGCTGCAGGAGGGACTGGTGCACTTTACAAAATAGATGGCATCATGAGGAAGGAAAATTATGTGGATATATTGAAGCAACATCTCAAGACAACAGTCAGGAGGTTAAAGCTTGGTCACAAATGGGTCTTCCAAATGGACAATGACCCCAAGCATACTTCCAAAGTTGTGGCAAAATGTCTTAAGGACAACAAAGTCAAGGTATTGGAGTGGCCATCACAAAGCCCTGACCTCAATCCTATACCACTGGCTTAGTGCGGGGATCAGGAACGGGCCGGACCGGACTGGCGACACGCACCACTTGCTTGGTGCGAGGAGCGGGACTGGATTCCCTTATAAATCCTTCTGCTGCCTAACTAGCTCCTCTCGCCGTGCCTCTACACTCTCCTTCTCCCTTATAGCCTCCTGTAGCTCCTCCCTCTGACCAAATAACTCCTGCTCACTCTGAACCAATAGCCCCCGTAACCTGGTGGCCTCCTCTCCTAACATGCAGAATCGCCCTGTCGCTGCCTCCTGCTGCCTCGTCGTCCACACCTTGTGCCCCCCCCCCAAAATGTTCTTGGGGTTGCCTCTCGGGTCTCCGTCGTCGGCACTGTTGGCGCCGTTTCTCCTCTCCTACCTGGGCATCCTCATTCATCGCCCTCCGGTAACGGACGGCCTCTTCCTCCGTAATTCTCCCCCAACCGAGGAGGACATCTACTAATGTCACCTCCTGTTGAATTCCCGGCGTTTGCTCCTGAACACGCTGCTTGGTCCTCGTTTGGTGGGATCTTCTGTCACGATCGTTTACGAACGAGAAGGACCAAGGCGCAGCGTGATAAGCATACATGTTTATTTAACGAATAAACACCACGACAAAACAACAAACGAAACGTGAAGTTCAAGGTAGCATACAAACAACATACCTTACACGGAACAAGATCCCACAACTAACAGGTGCCAAAAGGCTGCCTAAGTATGGTCCCCAATCAGAGACAACGAGCGACAGCTGCCTCTGATTGGGAACCACACACGCCAACATAGATCTAGACATACTAGAATCTAACATAGACAATCAACATAGCCAAACACAACACAGAAAATACACACCCTGACTCAACAAATACAAGTCCCTTGAGTCAGGGCGTGACAGACAGGGAATTTTTACTAGGATTAAATGTCAGGAATTGTGAAAAACTGAGTTTAAATGTATTTGGCTAAGGTGTATGTAAACTTCCGACTTCAACTGTATGTACTGTACATATAGGTAGGGGTAAAGTTACTAGGCAACAGAATAGATAATAGACAGAAGCAGCAGCGTATGTGGTGAGTGTGAAAGTGTGTGTGAGTGAGTGTGTGTGTGGCATCAGTCTGCATTTGTGTGCATGTTACGTGTGTGTGGGCATATGTAGTGTATGTGTGTGTACGTGCAGTGCATTCGGAAAGTATTCAGACCCCTTGACTTTTTCCACATTTTGTTACATTACAGCCTTATTCTAAAATTGATGATATTGTTTTTTTCCTCATCAATCTACACACATTAACCCATAATGACAAAGCAAAAACAGGTTTTTATAAATGTTTGCTAATTTATAAAATAAAATAAATGGAAATATCACATTTACATAAGTATTCAGACCCTTTACTCAGTACTTTGTTGAAGCACCTTTGGCAGCGATTACAGCCTTGAGTCTTCTTGGGTATGACACTACAAGCTTGGCACACCTGTATTTGGGGAGTTTCTCCCATTCTTCTCTGCAGATTCTCTCAAGCTCTGTCAGGTTGGATGGGGAGCGTCGCTGCACAGCTATTTTCTCTCCAGGGTTCAAGTCCGGGCTCTGGCTGGGCCACTCAAGGACATTGAGACTTGTCCCGAAGCCACTCCTGCGTTGTCTTGGCTGTGTGCTTAGGGTCGATGTCCTGTTGGAAGGTGAACCTTCGCCCCAGTCTGAGGTCCTGAGCGCTCTGGAGCAGATTTTCATCAAGGATCTCTCTGTACTTCCCTCGATCCTGACTAGTCTCCCAGTCCCTGCCACTGAAAAACATCCCCACAGCATGATGCTGCCACCACCATGCTTCACTGTAGGGATGGTGCCAGGTTTCCTTCAGACGTCACACTTGGCATTCAGGCCAAAGAGTTCAATATTGGTTTCATCAGAGCAGAGAATCTTGTTTCTCATGGTCTGAGAGTCTTTTAGGTGCCTTTTGGCAAACTCCAAGCGGGCTGTCATGTGCCTTTTACTGAGGAGTGGCTTCCGTCTGGCCCCTCTACCATAAAGGCCTAATTGGTGGAGTGCTGCAGAGATGGTTGTCCTTCTGGAAGGTTCTCCCATCTCCACAGAGTAACTGTGGAGCACTTTCAGAGTGACCATTGGGTTCTTGGTCACCTCCCTGACCAAGGCCCTTCTCCCCTGATTGCTCAGTTTGGCCGGGCGGCCAGCTCTAGGAAGAGTCTTGGTGGTTCCAAACTTCTTCCATTTAAGAATGATGGAGGCCACTGTGTTCTTGGGGACCTTCAATGCTGTAGACATTTTTCGCTACCCTTCCCCAGATCTGTGCCTCGACACAATCCTGTCTCTGAGCTCTACGGACAATTCCTTCGACCTCATGGCTTAGTTTTTGCTCTGACATGCACTGTCAACTGTGGGACCTTATATAGACAGCTGTGTCAATTGAATTTACCACAGGTGGACTCCAATCAAGTTGTAGAAACATCTCAAGGACGATCAATGGAAACAGGATGCACCTGAGCTCAATTTCGAGTCTCATAGCAAAGGGTCTGAATACTTATGTAAACAAGGTTTTTCTGTTTTATTTGTTTTTATATAAATGAACAAACATTTATAAAAACCTGTTTTCACTTTGTCATTATAGGTTATTGTGTGTAGATTGATGAGGATTTTTATTTATTTAATCAATTGTAGAATAAGGCTCTAATGTAACAAAATAGGGAAAAAGGGAAAGGTTCTGAATGCTTTCCGAATGCACTCTATATGTGTGTGTTGTGTGTTGGGGTGTCAGTGTAAGTATATGTGAGTGTGTGGGTAGAGTCCAGAGTGTGTGCATAGCATCAGTGCAAGAGAGTTAGTGCAAAAAATGATCAGTGCAGGTAGTCCGGATAACCATTTTATTAGCTATTTAGCAGTCTTGTACATCGGTCTCATGGCTTGGGGGTAGAAGCTGTTCAGGGTCCTAGTAAGGCTTGTCATGGATATGCATGTATATGCCCTTTAAAGATGCAGTAAAAAGAAAAATCATCTTACTTGTCGATTCAATGTTAATTAATTGTATTTATGTATGTGTAATAATGGTATATTTCATCATATAGAATGTTCTGTCATTCTTTGCAGGTTTAAGACGGTCCACTGTCTACTCTACCCACTGACCGGCTGGTGCCCTTGAAGACTCCAACTCCCAGCAGCACCCGGGCCTCCTGAGACTTTCCTAAATGGTGTCTTCACTTCCTGGATTCTCGGGGTGCGTCTCAATAATCTCTCTTTTCTCCTGAAGTTTACACTCGTTTACTACTTCCAACAAATGTAAAAGTAGTGGGTTGGTGGAGGTATGTGCTAGTGGGAGTTTCTACCTTATGTCTTACACCAGGCATTTACTAAATCAGTGTGCAAACTTTGGGAGCAAGGAGTGATAATTGGGACACAGCCCTGGTTTTGCATGGACGCAACAGTGACTACAAGCACTAGTCTTGTGCAGAATGCAGTGTGCACTTCCTGTAACCTATCTACTTATTCTATGAGTTCTATGAGCCCTCTAGAGTGATTAACAAGACAGCACTTGCATCATTTATTGGCAGGTGTGTATATTTGTTGAACAGAGACCAAAAGAAATCTGCATTTATTTGTAACTTTTTTTTATAGATTTGTATAACTTCTTTGATGAACTCTGGTGAAATTAACTGCTGTAAAATATGTACATATTTTGAAAAGTTTTTGTTCATCTGTTCTGTTATGACTGCAATTGTTGGATAGGCTAGTTTCTTCTATTTTAACAAATTTTTTAACTTTAAAAGTGTATTCACGTTCCAGTCTAGGCTGTCTGTACATAGTTCCTGGTTTCTGCAAAGCCTGAAAGGATGACCATGGTTTATACAGTCTTGAAGAAGAGGTGTTTGTGGGGGTGCTTTGTGTGTACTGGAGATACAGTGTGTGTGTGTGTGTGTGAGACAAGGAGTGTGTGTCCTTCTAGACTCTTTCTACTATTATGAGAAAAATTTGGATCTGGAACGGAGCGTAGGGGGCCTCAAGCGGAGAAATTATATATTAAAAAAAACATTACTAGTATTATTTTTTGAAATGGTGCCCAGGTCACGAGGCCCCTTGATGATATGAGGCCTGAGGCAATTGCCTCTTCTGCCTAATGTTAAGTCTGCCACTGCAGACTACACACACCACAACCACTCCATATTCAGTGAGGCAATGAGCAATGATTTAGGCCAGTGTGTGTATGTGATGTGTGTGTGTGATGTGTGTGTGTGTGACAGTGAGTAGTGTGTGTGTGTGTCTCATATATCTCATATGAAGGAGAGTGAGTAGATCTGAGCTAGAGATGACAGGTGAGATTCACTGGGTCATAGCGGTTAGGGATTCTCTGAGGACTGAGAGGGATACAGGCAATCGGTGAAGGGTTACATAAGATTGGGGATTGTGATTGACAGTCTGTGTGTGTGATCTCAGTGTGTGTGTTCCCTCTCAGTGTGTCTATCTCTAGTGGTGCATGGACACCTCTCTTCCCCCATGTTCACCCAGAGGAATACACAGAAACAGTGAGGGGTGTACTCAACCGTCACCTCAAGGACACACACACCCTCTCTCTGTGTGTGTGTGTGTGTGTGTGTGTGTGTTTGTGGGTGTGTGTGTGTGTGTGTGTGTATCTCTGTGTGTCTCTGTGTTAGTTTGTGTGCTAATGTGTGTATCTCTCTGTCTCTGTGTGTGTGTGTCACCAGGGAGAAGGGACTAACTCTCCACAGTATGACTCATATCCTCACTGGTCTCAGAGGTGGCTTGATGTCATGATAGTCCCGTGTAGCTCAGTTGGTAGAGCATGGCGCTTTCAACACCAGGGTTGTGGGTTTGATTCCCATGGGGGTCCAGTATGAGAATGTATGCACTCACCACTGCAAGTCGCTCTGGATAAGCGCATCTGCTACTATGTAGAATTATAGGTGTGTGTGATGTGACTCAATGTTGTTACTATAAAACGTGTGCGTACTGCTTCTCTATAAACCTAGAATGAAAAATAAAGCAGCGATTGGTCCACCGTAGGGATGAAACGGACCCAGGCTGTGATAGCTGGAGTGTAGCACTCACTGTTATAGCTGTGTGTGTGTGTGTGTGTGTGTGTGTGTGTGTGTGTGTGTGTCGCACTCAGCGCTGCAGTTTCATCTTCCGTCCGTCTCATAAAACCGGTAAACAGGATTCTAAAAGGTAGTCAGGGAAAGAATTGAGGGAGAACACACGTTGCCCTGGGTCTCAATGTTCCATTTGAGAACTGTCTAGATCTGTCTACATCACCCGGCTGAGCGGAGTGTGTGTGTGTCTACAGAGAACGACTGAACAAAGCTGTTCTCATCTCTTAGTATTTGTCTATCCACTGACCCTGACAAACCAACATTGATCCAGACAATTTCAAGCCTGAACTATTGTTTAAAGAAGAATGGGAGACAAGACAGAATGTGTAAACACGACAGAATGGGGGTCAAGACAGAATGGGTAAACACGACAGAATGGGTAAACTAGACAGAATGGATAAAAACAAGACATAATGGGTAACAAGACAGAAATTCAGCTGTACCGAGCAGCTGTACCGGGTGTATGGCGTCATGTGGGTGAGTGGTTTGCTGATGTCAACGTTGTGAACGGAGTGCCCCATGGTGGCGGTGGGGTTATGGTATGGGCAGGCATAAGCTACGAACAACAAAAACATTTGCATTTTATTGATGTCAATTTGAATGCACGAGATCCTGAGACCCATTGCTGTGCCATTCATCCGCCACCATCACCTCATGTTTCAGCATGATAATGCACGGCCCCATGTCACAAGGATCTGTACACAATTCCTGGAAGCTGAAAATGTCCCAGTTCTTCCATGGCCTGCATAGTCACTAGACATGTCACCCATTGAGCATGTTTGGGATGCTCTGGATCGATGTGTACGACAGTGTGTTCCAGTTCCCGCCAATATCCAGCAACTTCGCACAGCCATTGAACAGGAGTGGGACAACATTCCATAGGCCACAATCAACAGCTTGATCAACTCTATGCGAAGGAGATGTGTCGCGCTGCATGAGGCAAATGGTGGTCACACCAGATACTGACTGGTTTTCTGATCCACGCCCCTACCTTTTTTTAAAGGTATCTTTAACCAACGGGTGCATATCTGTATTCCCAGTCATGTGAAATCCATAAATTAGGGCCTAATTTATTTATTTCAATTGACTGATTTCCTTTTCCTTATATGAACTGGTACTCAGTAAAATCTTTGAAATTGTTGCATGTTGCGTTTATATTTTTGTTCAGTGTAAACATATGTTTCCCATGCCAATAAAGCCATTTGAAAATAATTGAATTGAGAAAGAGAGGGAGATTAGAGCATGAGAGAGAGAGAGAGAGAGAGAGAGAGAAGAGGAGAGACGAGAGAGAGGCGAGAGAGGAGGAAGAGAGCGGAGGAGGAGGAGAGAGGAGAGAGATAAGAGCTCCGCGGAGAGAGGAAGAAGAGTGAGAGAGAGCGGTCGCCTTGAGAGGCGAATAGAGAAGAGAGAGAGAGGGAGGAGAGCGGAGAAAGAGAAGGAGAAGAGCAAACGAGTGAAAAGCCATAGGGAGAGAGAGAGAGTGCTCAGGAATATACCACAAAGAAACTGACAGACATTTAGTGGGAAACTTAGTCCAGATTGAGGAGTGGCTCATGCAAACCACATCCTGTCAGTGTTCTGTTCAAATAGAGAGGTTGCCATAGTGACACACATGTACTGTAGCTGGTGGGGTCCATTAGAGCAGAGGAGAAGATGAAAACAAAAAATAGAAGAATGATTCATACACAGTAGGTGTTCTTTCTGAGATAGACCTCCTCATTGGCTAAGTACTGTAAGTAGGTAACTTAGTCCAGCTTGAGGAGTGGCTCATCAGACTCATCTGGACTGGCAGAGAAAGTGCTGTCAAGTGGAGAGGTTGCCATAGTGACACATGTAGCTGGTGTGCCTCATTAGAGCGGGGGAGAAGAGGGGAGAGGAGAGATGAGAAAAGGAGAGGAGAGAAGAGAAAAGGAGAGGAGAGAAAAGAAAAGGAGAGGAGAGAAGAGAAAAGGAGAGGAGAGATGGGACAAAAGGAGAGGAGAGAAAAGGAGAGGAGAGAAGAGAAAAGGAGAGGAGAGATGGGACAAAAGGAGAGGAGAGAAAAGGAGAGGAGAGAAGAGAAAAGGAGAGGAGAGATGAGAGCCATTGACTCATCAGCTATTAACTTAATTGAGATGGTCATTGACTGATGGGTGCATGGTGGGTGTGTGAGAGAGAGAGTTTTTGTCCTTTTAGAGACTGCTACTGGCTAGTTCAATGCTATCCAAAGCTGCTTTATTAGGCTGGGGGAGAGTGTAGTGTGTATGTGTGTGGGGTGTGTGTGTGTGTATTGCCCTCCCTTTATTAGGTTGCAACTCAACAACCCTCACTGCTACTTCCATGGAGACAGCACAGCACTGTGGCCCTGCTGGGTCTCTCTCTCTCTCTCTCTCTCTCTCTCTCTCTCTCTGGCTCTCGCTCTCTACCTCCCTCCCCCCTCTCACAAACAAAGCTTTTGAAAATACACTATATATACAAATGTACAGTATATACAATAAAATGGAGCACACGGCCATGCAATCTCCATAGACAAACACTGGCAGTAGAATTGCCTTACTGTAGAGCTCAGTGACTTTCAACGTGGCACAGTCATAGGATACCACCTTTCCAACAAGTCAGTTCGTCCAATTTCAAAGCGGTAGGCCTCACAAGTTCACGGAACGGGACTGCCGAGTGCTGAAGTGCATAGCGCGTAAAGATTGTCTGTCCTCGATTGCAACACTCACTACCGAGTTCCAAACTGCCTCTGGAAGCAACGTCAGCACAAGAACTGTTTGTCGGGAGCTTCATGAAATGGGTTTCCATGGCCGAGTAGCCGCACTCAAGCCTACGATCACCTTGCGCAATGCCAAGCGTCAGCTGGAGTGGTGTAAAGCTCGCTGCCATTAGTCTCTGGAGCAGTGGAAACGTGTTCTCTGGAGTGATGAATCATGCTTCACCATCTGGCAGTCCGACGGACGAATTTGGGTTTGGCAGATGCCAGGAGAATGCTACCTGCCCCAATGCATAGTGCCAACTGTAAAGTTTGGTGGAGGAGGAATAATGGTCTGGGGCTGTTTTTCATGGTTCGGGCTAAGCCCCTTAGTTCCAGTGAAGGGAAATCTTAACGCTACAGCATACAATGACATTCTATATGATTCTGTGCTTCCAACTTTGTGGCAACAGTTTGGGGAAGGACCATTCCTGTTTCAGCATGACAATGCCCCCGTGCACAAAGCGAGGTCCATACAGAAATTGTCGAGATCAGTGTAAAAGAACTTGACTGGCCAGCACAGAGCCCTGACCTCAACCCTATCGAACACCTTTGGGATTAATTGGAACGCCGACTGCGAGCCAGGCCTAATCGCCCCAACATCAGTGCCCGACCTCACTAATGCTCTTGTGGCTTATTGGAAGCAAGTCCCCGCAACAATGTTCCAACATCTAGGAGGCTGTTATAGCAGCAAAGGGGGGACCAACTCCATATTAATGCCCATCATTTTGGAATGAGATGTTCGACGAGCAGGTGTCCACATACTTATGGTCATGTAGTGTAGAAGTAAGGACGTGTTCATGACTAAATTAACATACAAACACATTCTACATAAATATATATACACAATTATTGTATATATATTCACAGCCATGAAACAAAACATGTCTACATACTGCACACACACACACACACACACACACACACACACATACACACACACACACACACACACACACACACACACACACACACATACATACAACACTGATTCTGTATGTGGTATCGGAGGAGAGAAGATGAGGTAATGAGTGAAGGAGCGATAACAAGAAAGAGGGTAGGGAACGAGGGAATGTGTTAG